GAGGGGCCACCAGCCAAGGAATATGGGCGGCCTCTAGAAGCCACAAAGGCCAGGAAAGAGATTTTCTCTAGAACCTCCTGAGGAACGCAGCCCTGTGGACCCACTTTAGAGTTCTGACATCTAGAAGAGTAATATGTTTGTGTTGCTTTAAGCCACTGACTTTGCAGTGATTTATTAGTGCAGCAACAGGAAACTAATAAGGGAAGCTTTCGTGGAGGAAGAATTTGACTTGCTCTTGAAGACGGGGTGGAACAGGGCCGGCAAAGCAGAGGGGAGGCCCCAGGCTGGTGGCAGAGACCCAGCCCCTAGTGCCCTGGGTACAACCAGCTCCCCCTCTCCAGGGCTGTATAAGCCAGACTTGGGAGGGGGCTCTGCGGGCTTCCAGGTCAGTCCTCATCTTTCTGTTAGGGAGATTTCTGGCCCAGGCCTGTGACCATGGCTCTCATGCCTATGAAGAACACTTGGAAAACATTCTGGAAATTCTCTGGGCGCCTTTTGGACTCCTGCTACATTTCCTTTCCTGTGATTTGCTGAAACCATTATGTCTGCATTATCCTTATTTGAAATTCACTCAATTTATTTCAGAATGAGAATTTACCCAATCATGTATATAGAAAGCTCAACTACAAAGAATTTCATAAAAGCTTTTTTAATTTTTCATTTCAAAATAAGTTCAGACTTCCAAAAGATACCAAAAAAAAAAAAAAAATATATATATATATATATATATAGGACAGGGTTCAGATACCAGTTTCCCCAAATAACACTTTACATATTTTTGATGAGTATTATTTTGTAGAATGTCTCTCTGTTTGTGTATCTGATGCTTCCTCATGATTAGAATCAGGTTGTGCATTTGGGTGAGACCACAGAAGTGACACTGTTTCTCAGTGCGTCATCTCAGGGCACGGGCTGCGTGTCATTCCCAGAGATGACCACTTGGCTAAGGGGACCTGCACTGTAATGCTACTGTTGTTCCATTTGTAATCACTAGGCACCTCGAGGGAAGGTTTCTCGAGACTCAGCAAATACCCCACTTTACATCACACAACATTTTGCCCACTGACCTCAGTGTCCACTGATGGCTCTGCCCGCTACCATGACAACTGTGGTGTCTGTAATTTTTCATTTCAAAAAAAGTTCAGACTTCCAAAAAATACCAAAAAAAAAAAAAAAAATATATATATATATATATATATAGGACAGGGTTCAGATACCAGTTTCCCCAAATAACACTTCACATATTTTTGATGAGTATTATTTTGTAGAATGTCCCTCTGTTTGTGTATCTGATGCTTCCTCATGATTAGAATCAGGTTGTGCATTTGGGTGAGACCACAGAAGTGACACTGTTTCTCAGTGCGTCATCTCAGGGCACGGGCTGCGTGTCATTCCCAGAGATGACCACTTGGCTAAGGGGACCTGCACTGTAATGCTACTGTTGTTCCATTTGTAATCACCAGGCACCTCGAGGGAAGGTTTCTCGAGACTCAGCAAATACCCCACTTTATAGATGACCACTTGGCTAAGGGGACCTGCACTGTAATGCTACTGTTGTTCCATTTGTAATCACTAGGCACCTCGAGGGAAGGTTTCTCGAGACTCAGCAAATACCCCACTTTATATCACACAACATTTTGCCCACTGACCTCAGTGTCCACTGATGGCTCTGCCCGCTACCATGACAACTGTGGTGTCTGTCAAATGGTGATCCTCTGTTCCCATCTGTTCTTCTGCATTAGTTAGAATTAACAAGGAAGAGCTGTCCCTTCCCCCACTGACATATTTATTTGACTATTTATATCCATAAGAACTCATGGATATCGATTTATTCTGTGGGCAATAATTGTTCTTCTGCATTAGTTAGAATTAACAAGGAAGAGCTGTCCCTTCCCCCACTGACATATTTGACTATTTATATCCATAAGAACTCATGGATATCGATTTATTCTGTGGGCAATAATCCATTACAACCATTATTTTCTTGCTCAAATTGTCCCAAATTTGGCCATTGGGGGCTGCTTTATGTTGCCTCCTGTGTTCTTTCAATGAGCCCATCATTCTCTCAGCAATTCTTTACTTTCTGGCACAAGATATTCCAGGCTCATCTTGTGCCTTCCCTGCCCTGGCCCTAGCATCAGCAGACCCTACCCTGGGTCCTTTGGTTAGAGAATGGGTTCAGAACAAAGATCCTGGGTGCCAGGTGTCACTGCCTCCAGGCCTCTCAGTGCACAGAGCAAGGAAGCCTTTGTGCATCCACACGCATGCACACTCACACACACGCATGCACATGCACACACCCGTATCTACTTCTAGATCTATCCACCTTTATATGTTAGAAAACCGTGGGTTCGATACAACTGACTCTTATTATCCACAATGTAGTTCTAGTTTTTGCCATCCTAGAATTTGGAGTGAGCAGGACTGAAGCCATTTGGGGACCTAAAACCACATGGGCTCTAACACATTTTAAAAGGATTGTTTTTTTCTAGGCATGCATTTCTCTGAGTTCCCTCTTTCTCATGGTTTATTTGATATTCTGAACCTTGGTTATGGGGCAAGATGACATTATTGACACGAATATAAAGTTGCTTTCCAGCCAGCCTGAAGCTGCAAACTTGCAGACTTGCACATGCTATCCAGACCCTGGGAAACCAAAGAACATCAGTAAGCTGTGCTGACTCCACCCCTCCAGCAGCACCCTGAGATAACAGCAAGAACAGAAGAAACCAGACAGAGTCTTGGCAAGATCTTGCATCTCCTTGCACGGAGCCCCCGTAGCTCACGTCCCCCTCCTCCTGCTTCTCATTTCCCACGTTCCACTCCCTCAAACCCTTCTTTAAAACCCCCTCAGTAAATCTGAACCTTTGAGATGGCTTCAGTCTGGCCATTCTCCTTCAGGGTTACTGCAGATGTGGGTTGGCCCAGCATCTCTCCTCAGGTCACTGGCATTCCTGAACAAAAGCTGACTTCCATCTTCACCAACGTTTGACTTTTGAGTGGTTTATTTTTGAAAGGGGGCAGGCAGCTGGACTTGTGTGCCTGGTAACAAATTTTGGGGAGCTGAGCGAGGAGTTGAGTGGCCCCAGGAACATGAATACATGTAGTTTCAGAAATGTCCATGTGAAAAAGAGATTTACTACCTAGAGTACACTATCTTGTCTTTTTGTCTCTAGCTTTAGTCAAAATACTGTTTTCTGAATACCATTACTTAGGCTAGTGCTGTCTTCCCCACCCCTCAGTGGGTCACAGTAGGAATTTGTGGTACAGTTGGACCCAGCTGTGATCATCCATGTCACATTTTGGGGCCCCGACATCCTGGTTTATTTTTGAGCATGTAAAACGCTGACATAATCCAGAGTCAGAATTCTATGACAAGGCAGACTCAAAGAGGTGTCATTTTCCTGTGGTCACCCACCTGTTGGTAACCATTCTTGTTAGTTTCTGGTTTATCCTTCCTGAATTTCTTTTTTGTACAAATAAGCAGATATTTGTATAGTTTCTTGTATCTCTTCCTTTTAATTTTAATATAGACATGGCTGTGGGTCAAACGTGTCCCTCCAAAGTTCATGTATTGGAAACTTGACCCCCACTGTAACAGTGTTAAGAGGGTGAGAAATCCAATTATGGCTTCTGAAAGGTGGGGCCTTTAAAAGGTGATTAGATTGTACGGACTGTGCCCTCATGAATGGACTGATCCATTCGTGAAGTAATGTGCATGGTTCTGATGGCTTCATAAGGAGAGCAGTGAGGTCAGCTCTCTCGCTCAGCCCTCTCTCTCACTCAGCCCTCTCTCTCCATGTGACACCCTGCGTTGCTACAGAGTAGAAAGCCAAGTAGAACACCCTCACCAGATGTGCCCCCTGGACTGTGCACTTAGTCTCCAAAACTCTAAGAAATAAATTTCATTTCTTTATAAATTACCCACTTTCGGTACCCTTTTATAAGAAACAGAAATGAACCAATACAGATATTTTTAGACTGTGCTTTTTTCGCTTAACAGTATGTTAATAGTATGAAGTCACTCCACATCAGTTCAGAGACTTACCTTTCTTTTCCCCCCTTTCTTTCCTGTAGCTGCACGGTACTCCACAGTGTAGATGTGCCAGTTTATACAGCACTCTTGTATATGAGGGCATTTCAGTTGCTTCAATATTTTGTAATTACAAGCAGTTCTACAATAAATAACCTTATGTAAATACAAAACATTCTGATAGCTCGGTTTGATAAAAACCAAGACTTTTCATAAACTAGCAATATTTTAAAAACCTGCAGCACACTTAGAAGCATGACAGAGATAAATACTGAACAGTGGGAGCAGGTGGTGCTAACCCATGCACATGGCAACACAGTGCTGAGTGGGCACAAGGAAATGGAACCAGCTGCAGAAGGTACTAGATTTGGGGGGGGTCTAACCAAGAAAGGACCACCACTACAGTCTAGGAAAGAAGGACTTCAAGGCAGAGAACTGGAGATGGGCTGAGAAGCCTCCACCACTCACAGGTCTGGGGTGCAGAGGGCGGCCCATCTCTGGAGCTCAGAATCACCTGCCAGAGCCTGGAGAAGACTCAGCTAGGGTCGCTGCTCGAGGGATATGCCCTGAACTCTCCCTCCCCCTCCCAATCTCCTGTCACCATCCTCCATGGAACAAATGGGAGCCAGGGAAAGCAGCCTGCAGGGGCCAGTATTGCCTGGGAGGGGGACAGGTCTGAGGGCAAAAAGGCCCAAACACACATGGCACTAGTGTCCCCTTGCAGTTTTGAACTCTGGAACATGTCAAAGTCACCCTGGATAACTTGGCTCAGCATTTGGACATTTGTCCCATGGGCAATTCTGCTAACAGCCCAGGCTGAGAACCACCTCTCTAAGTATTTTTTAATGAAAACCGTGACGCTGTAGGAGCGCCACTCTAACGTGTTCTCGGAGGGACTCTATCACATGTTGGGGATTCAGAAGTGTGGGTGATTTTATAGAGTAAAAAAATTACTAGACAACCTGTGTAAGTCTAACTACAAATGTGCTAACATTCTATTTTTCAGAGTTACAATAAATGAGTTATTGAAAGTAAATATCAAGTTTTATAAATATAGTCTGATACAAGTCAGGAATTAACACCCTGATTTTAAAGATACTTGATGTTTAGGCATAACCAGAAAAAATCAAGAAGTCAAATATGTCAAAAGCCAAATGATTTCTCACTTCCTAGTTAGTAGTATTCTACTTTTATTAAAAAAAAAAGAAGAAAAAAGGAAATGAACTGGCATATATATTTTTAAGTATGAAAAGAAAAATATTTTGCTAGGAAATGGTTATTTTCTGATGACTTCTGTGTATATAACAGACTGAAATTTGTGTCCATTTACACATTAGTATTAAAAAGCAATTCAGAGTATTTAATACAAAGCCACCATTTCACAGCAGACTCAAGGTACTCGCCCACAGTGAGCTGTTACTCTGGCATTCTTACCTCCTGTCCTAAGCCTCCCTGGGAACTGTCACACAACTGGACTTAAACCACCCTCTTATGAGAAAATGAGCATCTACAAGGACCAATCATTCTTGAAAATAATTTGGGGAACTTTGGAAGATAAGCCCTTTCCCTCCACGTGAGACGCATCCACAAGGACGCGTCTACCTGAACCTCACGTGGAGCGTCTCAAGGGCATCCTGACAGTGTTTCTAAGGAAGACACGCAGGTCTTCGGGGCTCAGGAAGTGGTGCAGTGTGCTCTGTCCTGAGCAGTCCCCGAGCACAGCCTGGTGGTCTTCCTCTCATCAAAACTTATTTTTTGCCTCTGCTTTTCCATCTATCAAATCTCCAAATCCCAGTTTCTCCAGTGGTTCTTGTGCCATCAGTTGCCTACAAGAAAAACAGAAGTTGTCAGGGCAGAAGGCAGTGTCTGCACAGGGCCCACCTTGCATTTCACCCCAAACTGGGGGCGTCCTGTCACCCCCATCTATGTCTCAGGAAAATGGACCTGAGAGTGGGACTGTCAGCCCTTGGCCCCCTCTGGCTGTGCCCCTCCCCACAGGGTGAGGAGTCAACAGGACCATGAGGACCTGCCCACCCAGAGCCTGAATGCCCCCCTGTGCCACACTGCAAGCACCTGAGCCCTTGGCCCCCTCTGGCTGTGCCCCTCCCCACAGGGTGAGGAGTCAACAGGACCATGAGGAACTGCCCACCCAGAGCCTGAATGCCCCCCTGTGCCACACTGCAAGCACCTGATGACCAAGGGCCTCTCTGAGGCTGCCCTCCTAGGGGACAAGGGAACTCAAGAGAGCAGCTGCTGTGGACAGAGCTTGGACACACACAGTGGGCGACCACACAGGTGTGCATGAAGCCCCCGAGGCTGGGGTGCAACAGGGCTGGGAAGAGAAGGGGGTGGGCTACAGCCAGGCGCCTGCAAGCCGCCACACGTGGTGCAGATGTGTGAGGGGTCTAAGAACTCTTCAGATCATTATGGAGGTGTGTCTGGTGAGGCAGGAGGACAGAAACACCATTTAATGCTTCGTTAGCTTGTAACTCTGAAGTTTTTAGACACCTGGCATGTGGCTCCATCTCCTGCCCCAGCCCTGCACAGCCCAGGGTCAAGGTCCCATCACCGGCAAGAGGCCAAGTCCTGCTCCTGGTCCTACCTGTCAGACACCAAGTGCCTAGCACCATCTCTACAACCATGTGTGCCAGCCTCCTGCTGCATTGGTTTAAGTCAAAACCATAAAAATTAAGGTGCCCAACACTGAGCACTGTGCTGCCCTGGCCAGGCCTCCCACCACTGCTGCCTCACAGTCCAGGGGAAAGGAGCTTCAGAGGCAGTCCTGTCCTACATGGTGAGGACAAGCACAGCTCCCTAGCTGGAATTCCCACCTTGTGCCAGCCACAACCCTGGGCAAGCCAGCACTCCTCTCCACTCTTCATGCCCATAACAAGGCATGAAGCAGGTGCTTCTCCTACAGCAGTAAAGGAGCTTCAGAGGCAGTCCTGTCCTACATGGTGAGGACAAGCACAGCTCCCTAGCTGGAGTTCCCACCTTGTGCCAGCCACGACCCTGGGCAAGCCAGCACTCCTCTCCACTCTTCATGCCCATAACAAGGCATGAAGCAGGTGCTTCTCCTACAGCAGTTGGATTGAACATGAAACTGCTAACACAGTGCCTGGCGCCTGAGAAGCCCCTGCCAGTGCCATCACGTTACTCTGGGTCCTTCCTTATACAACTGAGTTCACTCAGTCCTCACAACCTGATAAGTGAGAACATTTAGACCAAAAGATCAGTCTGAGCGGCTGGAAACTAAGATGTCTGTGAGTCACATGGGGTTGGACGGCTGTGCTTTTGGAGTGGGCCACACACCTGGAGAAATATGAAACAGCTCACAGGGAAATAATCTGGTCCAAACTTTACTAGTTTCCTATAAGCCATCCCCCTTAAGAAAACAAAATATGACTATCCTAAACAACTAAGATGTTTGGGATTTGCTTTTAAAGACTTCAGCAGTGGAGACAATAAAAAGTGGGGGGACAAATGAAAGAAAAATGGAAAATATGGGTAGTTGCTGAAGCTGGGGGTGAGTGAACAGAGTTCATGAAAACTCTCTTTACTTTTGTGTGTGCTTGAAAATTGCCATTAAAAAAAAAGCTAGAATCTCCTGAAAAATACAAAGTCTACTTATAGGCCAGACTGAGTACAATTATTTGACTGAATACCCCCCAAAGCGCTGGTCAGCCTCGATGGGCTACCTGAGGGGCAGCCCTGCTGTGCATCCCTGGTGAACAGCACCCACAGGGGTGGAAACAGGTGCCGGCCCCTTGCTGCGCACCCTCTGTGCCTTTGTTTCTTCATCTGTAAAAACAAGGGAGTCAGACTAGAAGGTCCACGCACTTCCACAGATGCTAGGGGCTTCCCGTATGCACAGTGTGTTAGGGGCCTCGGGATATAGAACAGCAGCCATAGACCCCACCCACAGGCAGCCACCAATCGGGCAGGGACAGAAGTACACACTGAAGGAAACAAAATGGAACGCAGGCAAACTACTAAGAGCCACAGAGACAGAGTGCTGCCTGAGGCCAGAGACCCTTTCGTGCCTGGGAAAGCAAAGAAGAGTTTAGGACGAGGTGTTGAGTCAGGCCTGGAGAGGTGCAGGGAGCTGGGACATGGGCAGGTGGAGGCAGGAAGCAGAAGGCGCCTGAGCAAGCTGAGCCAACAGTGAGCCTCGACTCCACTCGCCTCAACTTACAGCAAAGGCCTGTGGGGCCAGTAGGGCAGCTCAAGCCCAGAGTGGGCAAGGCTAAGACAGCGGGTGCCATGCCTCTGTCCTCACATCGACACCGCTCTCGTCATTGCCCCTGAGCACTCTGTGTGGCCAGGTGGCTGAGAGACCATAGGAGGGACTCAGGGTGCAGGGGGAAGGAGCACCTCGAAGGATGAGGAGGAGGTCCCTTCTGGTGCTTACCTCTGTGCTTTTCAGACCAGAGAAATCACAGGGGTGTTTCTGCCCTACAAGAGTTTACATAAGATGCTACTCCTAGAAGGAGAGCTGTTACTTTAATGCTCATCTAACTCCAAATTCAGGGATCCTTACATCACAAGAAATTTGACCACTGAGCAGGACCACGAGAGGTAAAACCACATGCCTACCCTAGGGTCACACTCTCCAGCAGCCAGTGTCTTTTTCTGCCCTCTTATACCTACCCTTACCTACTCTGTCATGGCCCAATAAGCTGGCAGTGGCTCCAGGCCACCCAAGCCCTGAGATCCACCACTTATCATTCAAGAAAACATTCCCAAAATTGCAAAACCTCAGTTATTACAATTAAACCTGGTAAGCAGGTTAAAGCAATTCTACAGCAGTGGAATTCCCAAGATATTCCTTAAACCCAAATCAGGCAACAATAACAAATTTTCACCACATCTTGGTAAGAGCATATCTGGCCAGCAGCTCTTAACACTGATCTCCAAGACTTCACTTGGTTGGGAGAATAATGACCTCCCAAAGATGTCCACACCCTAATCCCTATATGTTAGCTGTGAATATGAACATGGAAAGGGCATTAAGGGTGCAAATCATCTCGTCCTGAGGTGGGGAGATTATCTTGGATGATACAGGTGGACTCAATCTAACACATGAACCCTTAAAATCAGAGAACCTTTCCTGGCTTTGATCAGAGAGAAAAACGTGCAGAGGAAGAATGATCAGAGAGGCACAACACTGCTGGTTTTGCATATGGAGGAATGGGCCACGAGCCAAGGCATGCAGCAGCCTCTGGAAGCTGGAAAAGGCAGGAAATGGGTGTTCCCCTAGAGCCTCCAGAAGGAACCAGCCCTGCCCACACCTTGATTTTAGCTGAAGAAAACCTGTGTCAGACTTCTAATCCTACAGAATGGTAAGATAATAATAACACATGTTGTTGAAGCCACCTTGCTTGTGGTCGTTTGTTACGGCAGTCACAGGAAATAAATATAGTTGTTCTTCCCCTGATGCTGCCATTGACAACAGTTAGCACCTGTGTGTTCGGAGACACAAATAAGAAACAAGGAGGAAAGAACTACAAGCCAAATAAGACATGGTTCAAGATATTCCCCTTCCACAAATCTATAAAACTTTATGACAGCCAGCTCCCTAGCAAGTTCACCAAAAGCAACTGTAACTTTTAGCAAGTTCCAAAGCCAAATGAATGATTTCAATGCCTCTCTTAAGCATGAGAATTGGCCAAGAAAAACATTCTGTTTCCTGGTCAGCATTTTTTAAGGATTGGGTCATTCAGATCACCCCAAAGAATCACTATGCATTCTTCATGGAAAGCAAAATTACTCTTAACTTTTCATCACAGCACCATCATTTTAAAGGCATTAACTCATGGTTCAGTGTAACTGAATTTTTATGTACTCCATATTCTTTAGGACAATAATAACTAAGATTTATTGATACTCACTCTGAAATCATGCTAAGTGCCTTACAGAGGTGATCTTCTTTACCCTCCCAACAACCCAGTCAAGAGGCACCATCATCACCCCAGCACAGGGTATGCCCACTCCCCAGGACGGGACCTGACTTTCTCTAGATTATTACAGAGGTTTAAGATCTTAAATCATACATGTATTTGTTGTTGTCCTTGACAACAATGTAATTCCAATTTAAACATTTTTTTCTACGAGAAAATGTAGTCATCTAAAACGCATATATACTTTCCCATCAGACTAAAATAAAATGGCCCAAGTCTTCATAAGACAACTTTAAAAAATCTACCATGGTCCATTTTTTTAAGAGGATGCATACAGAAGTAAGTAGGGGTAAAATAATGTCTGGGATTTCAGCATAAAAGGAAGAAAAGAAGTGGTTAAAAACAGGGTCGGGGTGGGGGTGGGATAAAAGCTGCAGAAGATGTAGGAAATCCTGATGCCGACTCTGGGTGACGGTTATGGGCAGCCACACTATGTTTGATGACTTTCATTAACAACCAACCAACCAGAATTCTACAGTCATAACAACTGACCAAATCAGAAACACACACACCCTGCACATTCACCTAAATGTCACCTGACCAAGTGGTGCCACTTGAAATTGTGTCACCCACATCTTTTCTCCCCACTATACGTTGCAGGCTTTGGAGGTGGCTGCATTCACAGCGGGGCTGAATGAAGCACAGACACAGGAGACTAGGTAGACAAATGGGGAAAAAGAGAAGGTTGATCCTGCCTGGAAGTACCTTCATACACAGACAGAGCCCAGATTCAAACCCTGTCTCTAAATCTCAGCAGCACCAAGAAGAAATTCTCATAGTTCTGGTTTTGTAAGGATGCATCACCCTTTGGGCTGGCGTGTGGCTCACTCGGTAGAGTGCGGTGCTGGTAACACCAAGGTCATGGGTTCGGATCCCAAATAGGGATGGCCGGTTCGGTCACTGGCTGAGTGTGGTGCTGACAACACCAAGCCAAGGGTTAAGATCCCCTTACCGGTTATCTTTATTAAAAAAAAAAAAAGATGCATCAATTTGAGACAGTAATTTAAACATGTAGTTCCAACAAACATGCTATTTAAAGATGGTAAGAACTGGATTCGGTGTACCCCTTAGACAAATTTAAACCCTGTAAGTGAACCCGAACAACAACTCTGAAGATAGAACAAAGGCCTCACAGGAGGTCCACACTGCTAAGAAGGCCCATCATCCTTAAAGTCCCAAATGTCCATACTGATAACCCTGGCACACACCTGTGTGGCCTGAAAACCACAATGGATTTTGCCTTGAGGGAAATGTTTGAGTGTGTTATGGGAAAAGACAGTTCAAAGTAGATTCATTTATATCAACCTGTCTTCAGCAGAGACAAGGCTGTGTGAAGACTGAATTCTTTAGGGAGCTAATCACAGACTCAAGAAGCAAAAATAAAAGCTCCCACTACCATCATAATTATATGTTACATGTTTTTTTTTGCATTAAGGATTAGAATAACTCTTATTTTAAGCAAAAGCTCTATGGATCATAAGTAGAAATATTTTTGTTTTGTTTAAAAATGAACTCTGGTGAATTCTGGTTAAGACAGGAAGAATGATTCATCTTTCATCATTTGTTAAATAGCCTATTGTCTTCCCTGTCACATTTCAAACAGCTCTAAGTGGAACAAAACACAGTGTATATTGTTATAGTCTGAGAATGTCAAAGAAAGAAACTGCACCCACAACCTTCAACTCTTTTGACTCAGTCAGCATTTTCATGATGTATGATTCTGAAACTTTAATAACAGGTCAGTAACACCCAAATTTGGAATGAAAATGCTCTAAGGAAGGCAATTATCTATAATGCTAATCACTCAAGAAAAGCAGCTTTTAGTACATTTTCATCTCAGAAGCCTCAATTTCATGGGCAAACAATTCTACAGTTCTGATACACGCAAGTTGAACCCCAGGCCTGAATAAGGCATACTATAATGGCCTTTTGGGGGGAAAAAAATGTTTTGGTTGGCGATGTGGGAGGTAGAAATCGTAATCGTTAATCTGATACACGCAAGTTGAACCCCAGGCCTGAATAAGGCATACTATAATGGCCTTTTGGGGGAAAAAAAATGTTTTGGTTGGCGATGTGGGAGGTAGAAATCGTAATCGTTAATTTGTACTTGCCTCTCCATTCTGCATTCTAAGTATTCTTTTGACTCATTTCTGCACAAAGCATTTTCAAAATTATTGTCACGGAGACACTTCATGAATTTCTCTTTAAAACTTTTACATTCACCTAGAATGAAAAAGAAAACAGAATCTTCTTTTAAGTGAAAACATGACATACTAACACAGCAGCCTTATGAGCAGCACTGCTTCTTCTTTCAAAACTTGTTTCCTTAAGAAACATGCTGAAAAAACAAATCTATGATGTGGTAAAATAAAGCAAGTCCAGCAAAATGTTAAGGGCAGAATCTAGGTGGTGAGCACAAGGGAGTTCGCTGCAAAAATTCTTTCAACTTTGCTGTGTGTTTGAAAATTTCATAATAAAATGTTAGAAAAGGAATAATCTATAAATCTATTTTCGAAGCTTTAAACTCCAAGAGGCTCATCTCAATGGCTTCCCCCCAAACCAGAATTCTGGCGATAAACATTCGGAGATAAAAGCATTTTTCAGGGCGGGACCGTGGCTCACTCAGGAGAGTGCTGTGCTGATAACACCAAGGCCAAGGGTTCGGATCCTATACAGGGATGGCTGGTTTGCTCACTTGGAGAGCGTGGTGCTGACAACACCAAGTCAAGGGTTGAGATCCCCTTACTGGTCATCTTTAAAAAAAAAAAAAAAAGCATTTTTCAGTTTTGCAAAAGACACTAATAATGTATAAGTTAAGTCCCAACTATAACAAACCGTAGACTCAATAACCGTCAAAAGTATTTGCATAACATTTACTTCTCTGTAACGAGAGAGGCTCCCGTGCTCTGCGCCAGGACCGCCTTCCTTGTAAGAATCAGGAAGAAAGCCAGGGATTTGGAACTCGATGCGAGGAGTGTGTGTCACCGCCCTTGTCACGGGAGGGCCACAGTCCCTGTCACTTCCCACCTGGGGCAGGTGATTTGGGCGGAGTATTGGCTGGGGAGGGTCCTGCCGAGCCTGTTTCCCCACCTGCACCTTGAGCAGATGCCAGCACCCCCCAAGGGGCTCCGCGAAGGCCAGGCCAGGGGACCCGGGGCCTCTGACGAGCCGGAGGGCGGCGTGGGGCCTCCGACCCCGCGAGCCCGCACCCCAGACCCCGGCACGCTAGCCCGCGGACGGACGACCCTGCCCGCTGACCTCCCGTCGCTCACCGAAGTGATCCAGCGGGAAGCTGCCCTTGTCCGGGGGCCGCGGCTGGAAGTTCTTGGTCCCGAAGTTCATAGCGGTCGACATGACTGCGGGGCGGGAGCCTGCGAGCCGGCGTCAGCGCACGCAAGACAGCCGGCCGAGCGCCGAGCACATCGAGCGGCGGGCCCACGCCCCGGCCCCGCCCACCGCCCAGGCCACGCCCACGCACCCGCCCAGGCCACGCCCCCCTCGCCGGGGGACGCTGGAAGCTCCTGACCCCGCTGTGGGCGGTGCACCCTGCCCGGCGCTTTCTCGTCTTGTCCCGTCTGACCCTCACAGCAACCCTGTGGCAGAAGTCCAGCCGTCATCTCCTGGTATGGATGAGGAAACTGAATCTCAGAGAGGTTCAGCGACTTGGCCAGGAACACACAACTGTGCCCGGGTGTCTGCATCTCAGGGGTCTGCCAGGCGCTCGGTTTCCCCATCAGCATAGAGGGCCTAATCGCGGTGCTTACCTGGTGACAAATACAGTAAAAGAGGGAATGCGGAGTAGCTTCCTGTGGCTGCTGTAACAAAGTGCCACGAACTGAGCTGCTTAAACAGAAGGGGACTCTGTCACAGTTGCAGAGGCTGGAAGTCCAGAATCAAGGTGTGAGCGGGGCTGGTTTCTTCTGAGGGCTCTGGGCCTCTCTCCTAGCTTCTGCGGGTGTGCCCTCAATCTTTGGAGTTCCTTGGCTTGTAGAAGCTCAACCCCATCTCTGTTTCCACCTTTGCACGGTGTTCTCCTGTGTGTCTCTCTGTCCAAATTTCCTCTTTTTATAGGGACACCAGGCATGTTGGGTTAGGGCCCATCCTAATGATTTCATCTTAACTAGTTACCTCTGCAATGAATGACCCTATATACAAAAAGGGTCACATTCTAAGGTATTGGGGATTTGGACTTCACCATATAAATTTGGGGGGATACAATTCAACCTATAACAGAATAAAAGTGCATCGTAAACAGTAAAGCCCCAGGCATTTGCTTATTATTGTTGTTATGACAACAATAACAGCAGTGGGAAAGGATTCAGTGGAGACCCCAGCCCTCACCCGGCAGAGTCTCTTCCCAGCCTTGCACCCTAGGAACTACCTGCCCCCTCTGGACCTCCAGTTTTCAGTTGGATGATGGAGGAAACAGGTCACTGGCCCTCAGAGTACTGTTTTGTCATTCTGTGATTCTGCTGTGAGCTCCAATCTCTATCCACTCATCCATCCCACCCATTGTATTAGTCCGTTTCTGTCTCTTATAACATAAATACCCGAAACTGGGTGATTTATAAAGAAAACGAAATTTATTGCTTACAGTTTCAGAGGCTGGAAGTCCAAAGTCCAGGGAACACATGTGAGAGCCTTAGTGGTGGCAACATTGATGGCAGTGTATCAAATTGCAAAATTGGCGGACCGAGAGAGACACTAACCTCCTCCTTCATTCTCCTTCTAAAGCCCTCCAAACCACACCCTGACCAGCATTTTTAATCCATTCACTACTACACAGTCAGTCCTATCATCTATTCACCTCTTCAAGGCCCTACCTTTCAATTACCATAATAGGACTTCTCACACTCAACAGTTACTACAGTGGAAATTAAGTTTGGGGGGGACATTCAATCCAAGGCACCCATTTAACAATTACTGAGCACCAAGCATGTGCCAGACCTTGGCAGTAAACAGATTGGTCCCCAGCAACACAGAGCTCACCAGCTAGCCCTCTCTGGACAAGCTTTCTTATGCCCCAGGCCCCTGATGTGACCCAACACCACTGTTGATTCTAGTGTTGGGAGGAGGAGCAGATTCCAGCAACTTCCCAGAGGATCTTGCAGAGAAGTGCTCAGCCAACAAGTTTCAACAGCCCCTCATCCCGAGGCCTGCCCCTCCCCAAGCCTGGCTCAGGTGCTCCTCCTCCAGAAGGCTTCCAGTTCTCCCCCTCACTGGGTCTCCAACATGCCTGTCCCTCTGCGGTGCACACTTTCGTATTCCTCTGCCTGAGGCTGGAGTCAGCTCTGTGAGCCGAGAGCCAGCACAGGGTGGGCACTTAATGTATGTGGACTGCCCAGCAGAGGAGACTCACCCACAAGGCCCAAAGGGAAGGCCCAGGGATTCTGGGAAATCCCATTCCTGTTGTCAGGCCTTGATCAGTCTGGGGCTCTGGGCCCACTTAAAACCACAAAAGGAAAATTGTACCTTGTTCTTGCCATATAAACAACCATTTTACATGGCTGGAACCAGGGGCCCACGCACTGGGTTATTCATTAATATGTTTCCAGGGCCGTGAACAATAGAACCTTTTATTACCCAGCCAATAGCATTTTTCCACCTGACTAGATCATACCACTTAGCAATAAAAGGACAGTCCCTCCTCCCCCCAACCCTGGTTGCTGTAGCCCCTCCATCTGGCAGCCCTAAGGGACCAGGGAAGGAGCAGAGGCCCAGTGACCTGAAGGTGACAGCCAGCTTTTAATTGACTGTCACCTGGTAAATGATTATTGCTTTATATGAGATCTTCAGCTAAGAGAGAAGAAGAAGGAAGTTTTATTTGTAGCTCATAGCTATAAAGAGTAGGGAAAAGAACTAACCCTTTTTTGAAACCCTCTTATGTGTTAGGCATATTACACCCCAGATCCCCAGAGCCTAGAACAGTGCCTGGTAAACTGTAGGGGAGCAATTAAGTTTTTGAATGAATGAACCCAATTATGTAGGTATTATATCCTCATCTCATGCATAGAAAAACTAAGACTCAAAGGGGTCAAATCCCTTGCTGAGATGACGTAGCCAATATATGAGTTATCCACTGCTCTGTAACAAACCATCCCAAACTTAGTGGTATAAAACAGCAATTATTTACTTTGCTCATGAACCTGCAGTCTGGGCAGGTCTTGGTGGACACAGCTCCACTTGGCATCACCTGGGGTCACTCAACCATGGGCTAGAGGATCCACTTAGGGTGGTGCACTCACATGGCTGGCAAGTTGGCACAGGCTGTAGGTTGGGAGCTTTGCCACCATCCTGGGGGCCTCAGTTCCCCTCCATATGGGCCTCTCCATGGCTGCTTGGGCTTCCTCACAGCATGGTGTCTGGGTTCTGAGAGCAAGCATCCCAGAAAACCATGTGGAAGCTGTATCACTTTTTGTGATCTGGACTCAGAAGACACATTGAGTGGCCTCCACTGTGGTCACAAGTGCCTACCCATATTCGAGGGTAGGGAAAATAGACTCCCTCCTCTCAATTTAGGAGAGCAATATTACTTTATACCAAGAACAGGTGTTTGGGAGAATCTGCTGTGGCCATCTTTGGCAGCTGCCATCTGCCACAGCCCATAAGTGGAGGGGCTGAGTTTGGAACCAGGTCTGTCTGACTCCAAACTCCTCTGGGGGACCCATTCACCCCCATCTCTGGTGTCAGGACCAGGGTGACCCGAGCCACCCAGTCAGAGCATTGCATTGCCTCTGGCCACAGGGATTGCTCAGGGATGGGCGTCTGACCAATTGGGCCTGGACAATCAGATCTGATCAGAATAACCCCCAGGACATAGGCAGTCACCACAGCATCTTTGCAAAGCACTGGGAATGTCCACCAGAATTTAAAAAGGAGCAACCCCTTGGCTCAGTGACCCTGTTTCTAGGAATTTATTCTACGACATCCCTTGCAACTGTGCACAAAGAAGTGTGCATGCAGATATTTTTCGCAAGATGTTTTGTGACAGCCTAAGCATAGAAACAACATGAATGCGCATGCCCAGCTGCGCCTGACACCAGGCAACAGCTACAGCTATAGTTGAAGGAGGTTCCTGTCTGAGAACACGGTTACATTCAAAATAAGAAGCAATTAAAAATAAAAATAAGGGCTGGCCCGGTGGCGCACTTGGTAGAGTGCGGCACTTGGGAGTGTGGCAGCGCTCCCGCCGAGGGTTCGGATCCCATATAGAGACCGGTCTGCTCACTGGTTGAGCGCGGTGCGGGCGCGACACCGAGGGTTGCGATCCCGTTACCGGTCACGAAAAAAGACAAAAAGGAAAAAATAAATAAATAAAAATAAAAGAAGCAACTAGCAATGTATTCCCGAGGGACGGAGGGAATGCACAGGGGCACGAGGGAGCTTTGGGGATGGTGGATGTTCACTGTCTTGACTGTGGCGAAGGTTTCATGGGTATATAGGTGTATATGTGTCAAAACTCATCTAATTGTATACTTTAAGCACATGCGTTTTGTGTGTTAATAAAGCTATGAAAAAGAAAGACACACACACAATCGAGTGTAAACATCTCTGGAAGGGTACAGGAGCAAGTGGCACAATGGGAAAGGAGGCCACTGTCACCAAACGCCCTTCTATGCTTTCTTTTTTTTTTTTTTAAAGATGACTGGTAAGGGGATCTCAACCCTTGGCTTGGTGTTGTCAGCACCACGCCGGCCATCCCTATATAGGATCCGAACCTGTGGCCCTGGTGTTATCAGCACCACACTCTCCCAAGTGAGCCACGGGCCAGCCCTCCTATGCTTTCTTACTGATGTGTCTATTATCTATGTAAATGGATAAATATCCTCACAACTGTGTACTTACAGAGAGGAGCCTATTGGATGTTGTAGAGAGTTGAATTGTGGCCCCTCCCAAAGATAGGTCCACCTGGAATCCAAGGATATGATCTTATTTGGAAATAGGGTCTTTTCAGATGAAATTAAGGTAAGGATTTCAAAATGGGATCATCTTGGAATTAGGGTGGACCCTAAATCCAGTGACAAGTGTCCTTAGAAAAGAAGGTGGCACAGAGTGACACAGAGAGGAAGGCAGAACAGAAACTGGAGGGAGGCGTCTATACGCCAACGATCGCCAGTGACACCAGAAGCTGGAGAGAAACAGGCAGATTCTCCCTCGAAGCCTCCAGGAGGAACCAGCCCTGCTGACACCTTGACATCAGACTTCTGGCCTCCAGACTGTGAAAGAATACATTTCTGTTGTTTAAAGCTGCCCATGCTGTGGTACTTTTCTGTGGCAGCCCACATGAACTCACACAGGTCTGGTTGCCTGCCCCCTTCCAAAACAAACCACTCAGAAGTCAAATGCTGCTGAAGATGGAAATCAGCTTTTATTCAGGAATACCGGTGACCTGAGGAGAGATGTTAGGCTAACCCACCTCTCCGGTAAACCTGAAGGAGAACGGCCAGACTAAAGCCATCTCCAAGACTCGGATTTACTGAGGGTTTTTAAAAAATTTTTTTATTTAGGGCCGAGCCCATGGTGCACTCGGGAGAGTGCGGCGCTGGGAGCGCAGCAGTGCTCCCGCCGCGGGTTCGGATCCTATATAGGGATGACCGGTGCGCTCACAGTGCTCACTGGCTGAGTGTGGTGCGGCCGGTCTCAAAAAGGACAAAAAAAAAATTTTTTTTATTTAATCATAACTGATTATACATATTTTGGGGGTTCAAAATTGAGACATGTTGATCAAATCAATATTATTAGCATACTTATTGTTACAAATCGTAATTATTCTTTGTGCCCCTTGTCCAATCTCTCCCCACTCCCCCATAACCCTAGATTTCTTCCTCCTTCTGAAAGAGTAATGGTTACTCTGTTGATTTGTTGCCTAGATCATCTGTCCAGTGCTGAGAGATGTGTTCAGGTCCCGCAGTATTATCATAGAGCAGAAGCTTCTTCTGTCACTCTGGAATGGGCTTTGTGGAGAGAGACATCCTCTTCTTTTCTTTGGTCTCTGCTGGTGACTCTCTCCATGTCAACGCACTTCAATGGCTGGCAGACCATCTGCATGGTGGTTGTGGCGTCTAGCTGCTTTTGTGGCAGCTGTTGTTATTGTGGTGGCTGTCGTGGGCCACCCACATGGAGGTGAGGTTTTTGGCATGCTCCTTGGTGCTGGCAGTGTGCCTGGTTGTGGGAGGGAGGTCCGGTCCCTGGTCCATGCCTCAGGTCCCCAGGTGGGCCCTGAGGTGCTGGTGGTGTGCCTGAGCTGGAACTAACTTTTTGTCCTTTGCTTACTTCTAAAATGGGGGAACTTCCTGTGGGGACCAGTACTTGAGCTGTGTGGTTGAGCTAAATTGCCACTTTGCTGCTGTTTCCCTAGGGAAGGCTTTCTGTGCAGTTTAGGTTTTAATGGTTGACTTTATAGGTACTTCCGGCTCTCCAGAGACTCAGTGTACCTGGGTTATGTAGAAACTCTGATCTGGGCCTGAGTCTTTTCATCAAACTGCACCCCATGCAATTCTATATTCCGGACCAGTCTCCTCTGAGTGGTTCTGTGCTGATTCGGGGGCAGATCGATCAGCTGTCCTTGCTGTGCCCCAGTGTTCCCCTGGTGGGCTGGTGCTCCAAACACTTCCTATGGGATGGGCCATGCACTGTTCCCTTGCAATGACTCACCAGCCTCTGAGTGGCTCCTTTTTTTCAGTTGTTCTGGCTCCTCACTCCTATGTGGGTCCATGGGATCCCTATTAGTGGTCTCGCTGGCCTGGGGGCCGCCAAGGCCCTCTTCTCCCCTGCTGCCTCCAAGCAACTCCATCCAAAGGGCACAGCTGCGGCTTTTGCTGTCTCCTGCTCTGTGCACTCAGCAGCTCCAGACTTAAAGTGACCACAGTATGAAATGGTCTGAGCAGTTTTTTCTTTCTCTCATTGTGGCTTCTCCCACCTTCATGCACTCTGTAGGTCTCCCCTCCTCTTCCCCTGAGCTCTAGTGGCCTCAGCTTGGCTGCTGTTGCTTTTTTATAGTTGTAAGTTGGTTGATTTGTGGTAGAGTGTGACACTGGGGACCATCTATTCTGCCATCTTGACCAGAAGCCCTACTGAGGGGTTTTCAAAGAGAGGGTTGAGGGAGTGGAACGTGGGAAATGAAAAGCAGGAGTGGGTGTGGGGTGGGGACATGAGCCGCAGGGACTCGGTGCGAGGAGCCAGGTGCAAGGTCTCAAGGCTCCATCTGGTTTCTGCTCCTGTCCTTGCTGTCATCTCAGGTTCTGCTGGAGGGGTGGCATCAGCACAGCTTTACTGATGTCTTCCTTGGTTTTCCAGGGTCTGGATGGTACGTGCCAGTCTGCAGCTTCAGGCTGACTGGAAAACAACTTTACATTCATGTCAATAATGTCATCTTGCCCCATAACCAAGGTTCAAAATGTCAAATAACCATGGGAAAAGAAAGAACTCAGAGAAGTTCATGCCAAGAGAAAAACTGTGTCCTTTTAAAATCTTTTAGAGTCCATGCAGTTTTAGTTTCCAACATGGCTTCAGTCCTGCTCACTCCAACACTGTGAGCTGGGGAGGTTCTGTCTCTTCCTGGTGGGGTGGGGTGTAAGGCTGCTGCACAGGGGCCAAATCGGGGCAGCCCAGTTGGGCAGCACTGAGATCTGAACCTTTGCCCAACCTCACCTACCTGAAGGAGGAGCTTCCTGCTCCCAGAATTCACTGAGTTCCCTACATCTCCCCTTCCCTGGCCCAAGCCCCCTGTGTGGGGGCTCCCAGCCATGCCCTGGGCCTGCCCAGCCCACCTTCCACCCCCACCCACCCTCCAGCATCCCTTGCACATGCTGTTCCCTCTGCTAGGATGCCCTGCCCCCTGTGAGCCTGGCAAATCCCAACTCCTCTTTCCAGCTCTAGCTCAGATTCCACATCCTCTATGAAGTATGCCCTGACCTTCTTGCCTCCACAGTGTTCCCACTGTTCCCAGAGGCATTTTTAGCAGCAAACTCATTGTCACATCAGCCTCGTCTATGCAGTTGTGAGGGCAAAGCCCTTTGAGGATCTGTGTGCCACCAATTTCTGTAGCCCTAGCTTCTGGCAGTACCTGGCATACAATGGGTGCTCAATAAATGCTCCCTGAATTAATTAAGTGAACTTTACTGGCAGGCAGACCCGCCAGCCCGGATATCTAGTAGTGGCATTGGTACCAGGTACTCAGCACAAATGACCCAGAGGCCCAGAGGTTAGAGAGCCATCCTCATCCTCCCCCCTGCAGCCACCCAGCCCCAGCCCCAACGCCACGGCTGCACAACAGGACAGAGATGCTGCACCCTGTCCCAGGAGCGTGCAATCAAGTCTGGGACTCTCCTTTCACAGCCAGTAAAGGGGAACGAGACCTGGGTGGGGTGAGGGCCTCAGGCTGCCTCAGCTCTGTGATTTTTGTTGGGCATGGATGACACCCAGGAGACGGGCCCCATGGTGAGGGGCCCAGCTGCAGAGATGGGGCTCCCGCTGCCTCATGTTGGGGCAGGTGGTGCGAAGCCGGCCCAGCCAGTTCTGGTGCCAGCAGCCTGCCCACCCCTCACAGCTCACTTCCAAAGCAGCCACCTCCTCCCCCCAAGTCTGGTCACCAGGGTTTAGGAGACAGGAGTGTGGTCCTGACAGTCGGGGACTTATAACCCCAGCCACCTGCCACGGAGCGGGCCCTGCTTCCACCCTGAGCTGCTGCCTGCAGGGTGGGTCCCTCTGGGCAGCTAGCACCCCCCATCCCCACCCTGTCCCAGTTCAGGATGCACACAGATGGCATTTGGGAGAGGCCCACACACCTCTTGCCTCACAGGGGTCCCTCTGGGGGAGGCTCAGAGCCTTGGGAAGGTGGGGGCCCCTCCACTTCAGAGCCAGGGCCCAGGCCCCAGACCCCTGTGAGTCCTGGTTCTGATGGGGAGACTAAGGCAGAGGGTCTGGGACTGGCAGGTCCAACAGAGCTAGGGACAGAACAGTCAATGTGCCGTATTCTTCTTCCTGGGTTCTCCAGCAAATCAAAGGGACATAGATGCCCCGTGAACATAGCTGCATGCTGACCCCAGGCAGTCTCCCTGGCCCCCTGGGCCTCCTGTCCTGTGGCCCACTGGCCCTCTGGCCCCCTCCATTTCCCTGGGTCCCTGCGAAAGACTCGATCCCACATTCCATGCAGGCCTGTAGCTTTAAGCCACCTGGTGGGGCTGTCCCCTGCAAACTGCTCGTTCCACATTCTCAGGGTGGTGGGGTGGGTGGGGTGCTGGCACACCCTCTGGGGGGAAGCCTATAAGACACAGGGCAGGCGGCTGGGTGGGACGGGGGCCCAGGAGAGAGCTGGGACCTTGCTGCCACTGTCCTCATGGCCCTGCTGCTTCTGGGGCTCCTGGGGCTCCTGGGGCTCTGGGGGCTGCTCTGTGCCTGGGCCCGATACCCCTTTCCGGCCCATCGGTGGCCCCCGGGGCCTCGCCCACTGCCACTTATCGGGAACCTGCACTTGCTGCGTGTGTCGCAACAGGACCGGTCACTGATGCAGGTAGGTCAGGCAGCCCCACTGCTCAGCTCTTGCTGCCTTGATGGCAGCAGTGCCCCAGCCCCATCTCTAGGGAAGCTGAACCCCATTTCCACCATCCATTCCAGTGAGGTGCTGGGCTCAGCAGGGGACGCAGGAGGCCTAGGAACCTCTGAGAAGAGAGACACCCCATCCCACAGAGAAGCAGATGCACTGAGTAAGAGGCGGCACTGGAAGTGCTGCCCAAGGTTGGGGTCCAGGAGGGTTCCCCAGCGGGCTCCCCAGAGGTTGCAGCATTTGCTGAGAGCCTGCAGTAGGGCCAGGTTCAGGGCAGCAGAGGCGAGGAGGGCAGGTGTTCCTGGAAGTTGTCTAGGAACTGGACCAAACTGGACGAGCAACGCACAGAGGCACCTTTGGGGCAGGTGTGTGTGGCTCCTCCCTGCCTGGGCTGGAGGCAGGACTGTCCTGGACCATTGTTGAGGGCAGGCTGCCTTGCCCTACAGCCAGGAGCTGGCTGGCCTGGAGGTGAAGCGGAGGTGCAGAGCTGGGCCCCGCGCTGTGCAGGCAACCAGCTCTGCTCCCCGTGTCCACCACCCCGCTGCCACCACCCAGAGCGGTTCCCTCTGCTCGGCCTCTGACGCTCTCACCAGAGACCAGCCAGCCCTCCCCAGCTGCAGCTTCCATGACTTCTTCACTCAAGGGGCTCCTGTTTCCAAACCACCCAGGCGGGGAGAAGGGGCTGCACCCTTTGACCCACAAAGCACTCTGGGCTGAAGCAGCCCTGCCCTACCTTCCCTAGGATGGGACGGGCTGCGCCCCACCCAGCTGCAGCCACCAGGCTCAGAAGACCGAGTATAGCCCAGTGCTGGGCCCCTGAGGCCACCACCCAGTGTACTCGGGGAGCAGCAGGCAGTGGACAGCATGGCAGCCCCAGGTCTAAGTCCCAGCTCTGTCCCTCAACGTGCTGTGATCAACGGCAGCTCACTTCTTGCTTCTGAGCCTCAGTTTCCTCATCTGTAAAATGGGGAGATGACAGCCCTCCTCTCCTGGGGTAGGGATACTGTGAGGACAGAAGGAATGGGCACATGGTAAGGCTCCAGAGGGCAGCCTCGATGTGGCGTCATTGTTCTGTGTCCTCACTCAGGCCAGGGAAGGTCAGTGAGACAGAACTGACCATGCAGGGCCCCAGGCTCAGCTTCTGTGTGCCCTACCTTTACTGCAGGTTGTGGGGGGTGGGGGTAGGGGTGCTGGCCAAACTGAGGCTGGAGGAGGGGATGGAGTCTCCAGGGGATCCAAGCCTATCAGGCTTGCTCTCTGTTCAGACCCCTGGGCTTCCAGAACATGCCACCCAGCAGACAGCCCCTCCTATGCCTGTCGCCAAGTCTTGAGGCTCAAGAGCCCCCTGGGAGTTTCTGCTAAAAAGAAAAATGCACAACAGCCATACCCAGCACCAAATGGCATCACTCCACCCCTTTGGAAGAGATGAGGAGGGGGCTCTGTGGATTCTAGGCTGGACACTGTCTCCCCCACCCCACTCCAGCCCAGCTCCCCTCCAGCTTTGTGACTTCCAGGCCTTTGTTCTCACTCTGCCCACTGCCAGGCCCAGTTTCCCTCCTCCTCTACCCACACCCCCAGCTCCGAGTCTCCCCACATCTGAGCATGGGCTCAGCCTGAGCGGGCTCCCAGAAGACCTGGTGGGAGGAGGCCACTGCTGACCCCTGCCCTCCCCTGCCAGCTCTCGGAACAGTATGGGCCGGTGTTCACTGTCCACCTGGGGCGCCAGAAGACGGTGGTGCTGACTGGCTACGAGGCGGTGAGGGAGGCGCTGGTGGGCACCAGGCAGGAGCTGGCCAACCGGCCCCCCATTGCCATCTTCCAGCTCATCCAGCAAGGCGGGGGTAGGCGTCTGGTGGAGGGCTTCTGCCAGGCAGGGCGGGGCAGTCATCAGCTCAGCTCCTGAGGGCCCTTCTGGGGCCCAAGAGAGGTGGGGGCTTGAGAAGAAGGGCCTCTGGATCCTGGCAGCTGGAGGAAGAGCTCCCAGTGTGGCTCCATAAAGAGCCAGGGGGAGCCTGGGCCTCCTGGGTTGGTGCTGGGGAGGGACAGGGGTGCACATGCAGGCTGAGGTGTCCCAGACACCAGCAAGTTGGGACCCTCCCATCCCAAGCCAAGAGGGGGTTGGGCCAGCCAAAGCCAACTGGGGAGAACAGGAGTGGGCCTAGGAATGAGGCCCCAGCCGGGTCCCACTGACCCAGGTTGTCCCCCTACCTTACTCCCTGCCAACATCACCTGGAGGGGATCTGGGGGGCATGGCTCACTGGCACCATGTTGTCTGGCCCACAGGCATCTTCTTCTCGTCAGGGGCGCCCTGGAGGGCCGCCCGCCAGTTCACTGTGCGCACCCTGCACAGCCTGGGTGTGGGGCGGAAACCCATGGCTGACAAGGTTCTACAGGAGCTGAGGTGCCTCATGGGGCAGCTGGATGGCTACAGAGGTGAGTGTGGGCTGGGGACACCCCTTCGCGGGGGCCCCCACACGACTGAGGCTTGTCTCTGCACTCCCGCAGGCCGACCCTTCCCCCTGGCCCTGCTTGGCTGGGCTCCCTCCAACATCACTTTCACACTCCTCTTCGGCCAGAGGTTTGACTACCAGGATCCCGTGTTTGTGTCTCTGCTAGGCCTCATTGATGAGATCATGGTCCTCTTGGGGTCCCCCAGACTGCAGGTGAGAGGTCACTGCCCAGGCCTCGCGGTGGGGATGGAGCTGGGGGCTGAGACTGGCGTGGGAGGGGGTCTGGCTCTGGGTCTTTCGAGAGCGATTGGGGGCATTCTGGCACTGTCCCCACCCCAGCTGTCAACCCTGCCAGAGTGCAAAAAGAGCCATGGATTCAGAATCAAAGGCCTGAGTCAGCATCCATCTGACATTAATTGGCCATGTGACCTCAGACCAGCCTCCGTGCTCTCTGGAAATGGGGGGGTCTAGAGCAGACGATCCCCATCTTCTTCTCACACCCCCATCAGTAATAGATGCACCTGCTCAAGGTGGGGTGGAGACCAGGCATTTCTTCCTAGGATTGTGGGGCTCCATGTCCCCCAGGCATCGCCCAGCTGACATCAGTTCTTCACTGTGTTACAAAAACCACAAAAATTGCCCCTTCTATTGTTCAGAATTCCCAGGGACATGAGCTTTCATTCTTTTCCAAAATTTAAAGTTTTCATATTTTCAGTCGTGACCATTTTTAACTGTGCATTCATTTACTGACACATGTGTACCTAGCCCCGCTATCTATATTTGCAGTTGGAGTCATAGTTCATACATCCTTTGTTATCCTGATTTCTCAATGGCACATGGTCCTGTGATGTGAGGTAGGGACAGCAGCTGCGGTTTTTGGAGTAGTGGTGAGCGCATCTTCAGTCTCTGTGGCTTCTGACTCATTCTAGCCAGAGCCAGGTGATCTTGTCTCTTTGGGGGGGCCAGGCTGACACCGTCCAACCCCAGAGCCCTCCCAGGAGGATGGAGGTCACAGGGCTTTGCATGACTCCGTGAGGGCGGCCTCCGGGCGACAGGATGTTCCATGGCTTTCTTTGCCTGTGCCAGCTCCTCACCACGGAGGTGCCAGGCAGAATTTGCTACCAGTGATTGCTAACGTCCTGGGGGAGGCAAGTAGTGCATGGTGTGGCCGGGAAGGCAGCCGGCATTTCTTGAGCACTGCTGGAACCAGACTCCGGCCTCGCCAAACAGACAGCTGTGATTCTCATGTCACAGTGCGGGGCGGGAGTGCTCAAGTCTGTTGTCGCGTTCTTTTTTCATGACTTGCTGCAGATTCATAGTTTTCTCCCCAGTGGCAACCGCCTCCCCTCCTCCATCTTACTTGCTTTAGCGGATGGAAAGTTGCGGGGGGAGTACGATGACAAGCAGCCTGTTGGGACTTGCACAAAGCCACCCAGGTGTGTTACCTGTCAAACGGCTCCTTCCCATATGCGGACTGAGGGTTTCCTCTGCGTCCCCGCGGGAGGGCGAGGGGCCCCAGTGCACCGGGGCCGAGCGCCCTCTGGTGGCCACGGGCGGCACCCCACCTCCCAACATATCTGCCCAGAGCCTGAGGCCAGCCCCTTCCTGGCTGCGGGAACACACCTGCTGATAGATGGATTCGCTCCCCACCACGCTGGGGCCTGGGAGGCTGTGCCTGGCCCCCTACCCCACCATCTTGCCCCCTGCCCCCAGCTGTTCAACATCTACCCCTGGCTTGGAGCCTTGCTCCAGCTGCACCGGCCCATCCTGCGCAAGATTGAGGAGGTACGCACCATCCTGAGGATCCTCCTGGAGGCACGGCAGCCCTCCAAGCCTCAGGGGCTCCCAGTGCAGAGCTACGCGGATGCCCTGATCCAGCAGGGCCAGGTGTGGGCGAGACCCAGGTTCACCTCAGACACCTATGGGGAGTCCCGAGGGCCCACCCCAAGAGGAGCTGGGAAGGGGTCCATGCCAGTCCTGTACCAAGCTCCCCCACCTCCTGGCTGGGGGCCTCTCAGAGCTTCAGTCTCCTCATCTGTGAAATGGGGCATTCATAGTACCTGCCTCACAGGCATTGGGAGGACAGGTGAGCCCAGAACACAGTAGGTGCTCAGCAGATGCCAGCTCTTGATCCTTCCTGCCAAGTCTGTCTTCTACCCTTTTCTTGAGCCCAGTTTGGGCTGAGCCCCTGGGGTGGGGGATAGACCCCCTGGACCCTCCAGGCAAGCCTCACCCTGCCTGACTCTGCAGGGGAATGACCCCGAGGGACTGTTTGCCAAGGCCAACATAGTGGCTTGTACCCTGGACATGGTCATGGCTGGCACAGAGACCACCTCGGCCACACTGCAGTGGGCTGTCCTCCTGATGGTCAAGCACTCGGGTGTGCAGGGTGAGGCCCCAGCACTCAGATGGAACAGCCCTTCCTGCCCTCGGTGGGTGGCGCCCCCAGGGTCCAGGGGATGGAGGCTCCCACTGACATGGTGCCCACCCTCTTGCCCCAGGCCGGGTGCAGGAGGAGCTGGACCGTGTGTTGGGTCCTGGGCGGCCTCCCCGGCCGGAGGACCAGCAGGTGCTGCCCTACACCAACGCGGTGCTCCACGAGGTGCAGCGGTACATCACCCTCCTGCCCCATGTGCCCCGTTGCACGGCGGCTGACACCCAGCTAGGCGGCTACCTGCTCCCCAAGGTGGGAGGACCTCGCTCCTTCATTTCCTCTCTCATTGGGGTGGGCTGAGGCAGGGGATCTAGGGACCCTAAGATGGCCGAGCCTCAGAGCTGTCCCTGACAGCCCAGAGCTCCTCTGTTGGAAGCAGAAAAAGGGGTTCAGTTAGGAGCAGGAGGGAGGCAGCCCTCGGCCCCACAGCCCTGTCCTACCTGGAGTGGCAGAGTGGCATATCTGGGTCCCTGGCTGGTGTCCTGGGGAAGGGGGAGTCCCTGCCTGTGTCCTGGGGAGTCTTACTGTGTGATCTGGGGGTAGTCCCTGTTTGTGTGGTCTGGGGTCCCTGGCTTGTGTCCTGTGGATCATGTGGCCTCCCTGGATTCCAGATGCTTCACCTGTGGGATGGGCTAATACCAGGTGGCTGTGGCAGGAGCTGCATCCTCAAGGAAACCTTCTGAGATGGGCCCCTCCACCCCATCTCCCCCCTCGCTCTGAGCCTGCCCAGCCCATGGGAACCCTCTCTCTGTACTCCCATTCCCTGGGCCCAGTCCCACTTCCTCCCCACCATAGGGCACGCCTGTGATCCCCCTCCTGACCTCGGTGCTCCTGGACAAGACGCAATGGGAAACTCCAGGCCAGTTCAATCCGGGCCACTTCCTGGACACAGATGGGCACTTTGTGAAGCGGTCGGCCTTCCTGCCTTTCTCCACAGGTCAGAGGGGGTAATACAGGGGGCCCCAGCCCACCACTGGGATGATTGACCTCCCTAGCTCCTGCCCACACCCACCCTGCCTCCTGCACCCACCTCCTGCTCTCAGGTATTGGGGGCAGCAGAAGCTGCTCTTGCCCCTCGCCACAAACCCTCCCTCCAGTTCCCTGGGATATCCCCCTCGCCCCTCCACTCCAGGGACAGGCCTAGCCCACCCCATTACATGCCTTGGTTTCCCTTGCAGGCTGCCGCGTCTGTGTCGGGGAGAGTCTGGCCAGGACTGAGCTGTTTCTGCTGTTCGCTGGCCTCCTCCAGAGGTACCGCCTGCTGCCCCCACCTGGTGTCAGCCCCTCCACCTTGGACATCACGCCCGCCCCCGCCTTCACCATGCGGCCGCGGGCCCAGGTGCTGTGTGCAGTGCCCAGGCCCTAGGGGTGCTCCTGCCAGGTCTGGCCTGCACTGCTAGGGCAAACTCCCAGAGACCACCACTCCCCAGCACCCAGGTATCTGGGTCACCCCCCTCCTGGCCTCCAGCGTGGGGTGCTCCCTGGGTGACGGAGGGCAGGAGCAGCATCCCTGGGGAGGGTGGATGGGCAGATGCCCCCTCTTTGGCCCCTTGCTGGGCTCCCACTTTGCCCGAAGCAGCCTCAGGGCTGTTGTTCCCGGCCGGCTGCTTCTGTCCCACAGATCGTGTCCTCTGTGGAGCTGAGCAGCCTCATCCGATTTGGAACCCTCCTCTGGGCACCATGGGGGCAGTGGAGCACCCCCCCCAACATCCTGACAGCCCCACCCCGGCCTGGTTCTTTTATTTTTTTGAGGCCCTGGGCCCCCCCGCCCCAGGCTCCCACAACTCAGATCCTATGAACCTTTTCCTTCGGTTTCTTCCCCCAGGCAGCCAGACCCCAGAGTGCACAGCCAGGTTCCATCTGTTGCTCTTCTCCCACGACCCCCCACTCCCACACCCCATGGGTATCAGCAGCTGCCTCTGGCTCCACCCAGGCCTCCCCCCATCAGACCCTGTGGGGCCCCCATACCCACTAGTGCTCCCGTGGGGACTGCAGGGAGGCCCAGGGCTGGGGGCTCGCAGAGGAAGTGCAGGGCTTCCTGAAGGGGGTGGGCACCTCGGCCCCGGGAACACTGGCGGAGCATCAGATTAGCAAAAACGAAAAAGTCTGGCCACACTAAGTGTTGGTGACCATGTGAGTCAGTGCAATGGGACAACACCTGGAGCGTCATAGATGGGGTCCCCAGGCCCAGGGGTTCCAGCACTAAGCACCCACGTGTGCGAGAAGGTGGCCCCTCACGGAGAAAGGAAAACGGACTGTGGCGTGTTCCTACAGAGGCTAGGATGAAGTGACCAGGACCACATGGAGCAACAACACAAATCTCAAACACCCGGGGTGTGGGCGGGGGGGGGGCAAGTTTCCTAAAGTCAGGGCAGGGTCATTGCTCAGACCTGCTGAATTCACCGGGTCACCATGAAGAGGATGGGAAGGAAGCCGGTTTCGGGAGAGGAGGGTGGCACTCGGTTGTGTCCTGTCATTTATTTCTGGAGGAGAGCTGGGTGGTAGGTAGGTAAATGTTTGTTCCATTATTCTCTTCCTGCATGTTGTAATATGTGACATTGAAAAGTTGAGGGCAGACAGAACAGCCACCCTAGCCGGTGGCACCCCAACCCCTGCCAATGCCAGGCAGGCGCTTGTTCACGGGCAGTCACAGGGTGAGATAAAACACTGTTCCAACCCAACTTCATCCTGGTGACTGATTTTGAGGCTCCTCCGGAGCGGGGTGGGGCATTCCAGAGGTGGGGGTGGACAGGCTGGTGTTTGAAGATGCCCACTGGCCTGGGAATGGGCTGGGTGGGAGGACTCAGGCCCCATGCTCTTGGCCTCTGCAGGGGACTCCGTGCCCCCCACTCTCAGGCTCCCCTCAATGCCACCTTCAATTCAGAGTACTTCAGCCCTGAGGGTTGGGGCCCAGGAGAGCCCAAGGCCTGTCTGGGGAGACGCTGATTCTTCCTTCCCCTCATTTTATTGAGGTACAACCGACATATAGCAGACAAATAAGACAATGAAGTACAGTTTTACAAGTGTGACGTCTGTATTTACCCATAAACCATCTCCACGGCTAAGATGATGAATACATCTGTTACCCCACCCCTGACCTTTGGGCCCCACTGGGACTGACTCATGCGACCTCTCACCCCACTCCACCCATGAAGAAACAGGCCAACGAGGTCACAGGACTCCTTCCACGGGGGTGCAGCCAGGGCCCCCAAAACTAGGCAATCTCAACATATCATCCTCAAGTGTTAAAAAAGCATAACTTAGTAAAAATAAGAGCAGGTGTCAAAGCTTTACTTAACTTATTCCTGAGAGAACGGGCAGGCTGCTGGTGACGGTTTAAGAGCATGTGAAGAACTGGGGTGTGGGGTGGGTAGGAGGGCAGAGGGGAGGCCAGGCGAGACCCAACCCTGGCGCCTGCAGCCCCTGGGACCGCCTTCCCCACAGGGCAGAGCAGAGCCACGCTCACATGTCTCACAACCATGCACGGGCCGTGTCGGGGTGCAGAGGCACGTCCTTGGGGAGGGCTTATTGGCAAACGTGGCTGGGTGTTGACAGGACAGACCTTCCCATTGTCTCTGCCCAAGTTGCAAGGTTTTTGTTTGTATTTTTTTACTATGGTAAAATAACATCACATAAATTTCCCATGTTAACCACTTTTCAGTGTACGGTTCAGTGGCGTTAGCAGTTACACTGCTGTGCAGCCGTCACCACCACCCATCTCCAGAACCTCTTCATCTTCCCAAACTGAAACTCTACACCCATTGAGTAACGCCCCGTTCTCCTCCCCAGCCTCTGGCGCCCACCATTCTACTTTCTGTCTCCATGAGTTTGACTACCCTAGATACCTCACATAAGTGGAATCACACAGTATTTGTCCTTTTCGTCTGGCTTATTTCACTTACCATAATGTCCTCAAGGTTCACCCATGTTGTAGCATGTGTCAGAATTTCCTTCCTTTTAAGGCTGAATAATATTCCATTGTATGGATGGGCCACATCGTGTTGATCCACTCACCTGCTGATGGATCATTTCCAAGTTCTGGATCCCCTTTCCTGCCGGCTGCATCCCAGAGAACCCTGGGGACAGGCAGCCAGTGAGTCCAGCCTCCACACTGCCTGGCTTTCAGGAGAAGCCTCTGTGGATGTCCATCCAACGGTCTCCAGATGTGCTGGGAGGGGGCAGACAGGCTGGACACCAGGACTCAGATGACGTGGGCAAATCATCTGTGCACATCTGTTCTCACGGCCGCAGCAGAGCAGACACTGCCTCCGGCCTCTGCGCCCCCTGCCTCTGGGTCATGAGGGAAGGAACGCTCCGGGGCTAGGCGGCCGCTCTTGCTGCCGGACCTGCTTCTGGTTCAGGGCTGGCCCCAGCCACACTACATGCACTTTAAATTATCCTCCTAAGTCAACAAAAAACAAAACTGCAGAGTCCCCGGGTCATAAGCAAACTTTCCCACATGGATCCCAGGGCTGGCCAGGCCTTGGGAGGACACTTTCTCCTGCAATGGAGAAGTCATTGACTATGACCCCAACAAGTCAACAGAGCAGCCATGCTCACTGCCCTCTCACATCCAGCAGGGCAAACATAGGTAGGGCTGGGGATCCTGTCTGGTCCTGTGGGGCAGGGGTTGTGGTCCAGTGATGTCCAATGACCCGAAGTTCCTTCCTCTGTGCAGGGTGGTGTCTGTCAAGAGCTTCTGGCTGGAATCAAGAGGCTGGAAGCCTGACCTCCACTCGTGAACCTGGGCCCTCTCAGGTGACCCACCAGGGCTCCCTCAGAGTGGGGGTCTTCCTCTCACCTCAGATGGTGAGGGGAAACGGAGTGGATGGCAGGGGGAGCCAGGAGGGCTCCCTGGGCTTCAGAGGACAGAGGGACTTGGGCAGCTTGGCCAAGTGTCCCAGGACCTCTCTAGGTGGCTCTTATATGGAACACCCTGAGGGAGACCACATCACTGTCCAAATTAGCCTCTTTCCCTGGATCCAAGTGCTTGTGGAATCTACGGAGAGGCCTGGGGTGTCTGAGGTCAGGGGATATATTGGCTAGCTTTTGCTGGGTAACAAATTGCTCCCAAATTCAGTGGCATGAAACAATGATTTAGTGCCACTGACAGCCTTGATGAGCTCAAGCTGGGCCTGGCCAGGGAGGCTCATGCATTCTCATGGTACACATGATTCTGATCGTCCTGGACGCCTGATTTCCAAGCTATGGCATGTTGTAAAAGGGAAGACAGATCTTCCCCCAGGCAAATCACTTAATAGATGGTGGAAATGACGTCTGGCAGTGGGGAGCAAGCCCATGGGCAATACAGGCATTTAGTCCTGCTCCATAACCATCGTGGGACAACTGTGCCCATCATGCGACCCAGAGCAACCTGCTTAAGAAGTCAGGAAGGTACATCCTAAGTCCTAGTAGAGTCACATCAAAATAAAGGACTTTTTAATTCCTTGAGTAAACTGTCAGTTATCTGGTCAATCTGAGGACTGAAAACAAGCAAACAAGCAGATAATAGAGTCTGTTGTGGGGAGACCTCCCAGCATGCGCCCTGACAATCAAATGTCCCTCCCAAGAAGGTCCGCAGGCCCTTCACTGCACAGATGCTGTCCCCCAGGTACAGGGGGTCTAGGCCCTTCCATCAGCTGTCTGGAAGGTTGCTGACTTCCCATTCGCCCGCCTGAGTGTCCTGAGGGCTCTCACCGTCTGTGGACCACTAGCCACCCTGGAGGGCGCTTGTGTTGGACTGTACCCAAAGCCCCCATCATGCACCTGTAGCAGCAGGTCAGTGTCACAGGAGAAACACGTGAGCAGAAGCAGCTCTTCTGCAGTGGCCGGCAGGTTAGGGCTGTCTGCAGCTTTCCCTCTGTGGCAGGCTGTCCCCGTAACAAAAGCAAGGAAAGGAAGGGTAACCAGAGGTGTGGTCAGGAACATCCTGGTAGACTGCGTCTCCAGCTCTGGGCAAACTGGCTTAATTGATGCTTTTTGTTTTTTCTCTGAAATGCAAAAAGCCCCAACTCCAGCATCCACTGGATTCTGGGGCTGGGGGTTGGGATGTCTGCTAGAGCTGCCCACTGCCCCCCCGCCACCTGGCAGCAATTCCTGGGGTCCCAGAGCCATTGGAACACCTGGACACATTGGCTCCCAGCACTGGGCTCTGCCCTTGATGTCCCAAGGAATAGTGTGTGGGCTTCAGAAGCAGGTGGGCAGTTCCCTAAATTCTGGTCTGCTGGGCCACAGACAGACTCAACAGGGTGAGGTTTAGAAGAATCTAGAGGATTCTAACTTATTGCTGTGGATTGATTGGTGTACCCCAAAGTTCATATATTAGAAGCTTAATTCCCACTGTAACTATTGAGGGTGGGAAATCCTACTGAGGTATTTGAAAGGTGGGCTACATTGTAGGACCATGCCTTAGTGAATGGATTAATAATGGTGGTCAGGGGGGTGGTTCTGAGGGCTTTAAAAGGAGAGTGCGTTAGTCTCCTCTCTCTGCTCCACCGTTTTCTGCCTGTGAGACCTCTGTGTTGCCGTAAAGCCACCTCCAAAGAAGACCCTTCACCAAATGTGTTCCCTGGACCTTGGACTTCCTAGCATCTGAAACTGTAAGCAATAAATTTCATTTTCTTTATAAATTACCCAATTCCAGGTATTTTGTTATAAGCAACAAAAACGGACTAATACAATTGCTATTCACAGTTTGAGGCTTCACACTCAACTTTATCACCTGTGAGCCTCAGAAAAACGAGGGAGGTTTGAGAGGTCACGAGGTCCTCATGACAGAGGAGATCGAAGCTGAGAGGGCGTGGCTTGACCATGCTGGGCAGTGGGAAGGTGGCTGGGGAGCCGCTGGAGGGCGCACGCCACCAGAGTGAGGGTGTGAGCGAGAAGGGAGGTGGCAGGACCGGCTGTGTGCTGCCGGGGGCTGAGCCTGATGGCTGGTGGTGCCCTGCCTGACCCACCCAAGGGACAAGTCAGGGACAGTCAGGGAGAAAGGAGCAAGCAGAATGCAGCAGCCAGTCGCTCCAGGAAGAAAAGGGCAAGGGACACAGAATCTGCCCGGTGTGGTCAGCACAGAGGAAGAGAATGCGAATGCCCAGTACTGACTCATCTAGGAACACACGCGACTGTCGAGGGGCGTGGAGACGGGGAAGAGCTGCGGGGGATAATTAAGCAGCTGAATCCTCACTTTTCCTGGGAGGAGGTAACAGACAATGCCTAGTGGTGAACTATGTTTCTTAGACATGAATCCTAGTAGAAACAGCCATGAGAAGGCTGGGTGGGGGCTGGGCCAGGGGACAGCTTGTCTCACAGTGCTTGACAGGTCTGAGGAGTGTCCACACCAGCCCAGTGAGCGGAGGGAGGCTCCTCACCCCAGAATGCTACCTGCCTCTGTCCGTCTACTTCCTCCCCACAGGCAACGCTGCTCTGACTTCCTGAAGTGCTTTCTGATTAAGTGATGCACACACATAACTGATAAAAATGAATATTAAGATAATGAATCCTGTTTTCATTGTTTCTTTCTGGAGCACCATTCATCAGCTGTGGGCTTTGTCTTGCCAGGTTTAATCTTTGCTCTGGAGGGCCCCTTGGGGAAAGGGAGATTTTTTAAAAAATCAACTTTACTGAGGTTCTTAATAATACACCTAAAGTGTATGTTTTGATGAGTTTTGACACCTGCACACAGTTGTATAGACACCGCAGTCGAGAGATGGGACATTTCCACTTTGATCCCCATCAGGCCCCCTTCCCCGGAGCCTGGTCCCATGTGCTTTCTGTCATCACAGATTACTTGCAGTGTTTGGAATCTCATGTCAATGGGATCACGCAATATGTTCTTGTTTGTGTCTGGCGTCTTCCACACACAATAATTTGAGATTCATTCACATTATTGTGTGTCAACAGTCCTTTCCTTTTTATTGCTGAGTACATTCACTTTGTCTATCCGTTCACCTGGTGATGGACATTCGGGTTGTTTCCCTCTTGGTTGGGGCAACATTATTGTGTGTCAACAGTCCTTTCCTTTTTATTGCTGAGTACATTCACTTTGTCTATCCATTCACCTGGTGATGGACATTCGGGTTGTTTCCCACTTGGTTGGGGCGGGGGGGTTGAAAGGAGAAAATAATGGCCACCATCAGGAAGTTTCCAGGCCCAAGCTGTCCCATGCAAGGACTCAAGGACTCCCAGCCCATTTCCAGGCACGGAGGGCTCCAGAGGCTCAGACAGTTCCCCATGGGCTGCCCCTGGGGTCTCATCAGGAGCACCATCTCTGACCGGCGCCAGGGGTACCCTCAAGGAATTGCTTGGTTCTCTGAGCTTGGTCCAAGTTCTGCCTCTCAACAGCTTTGTCCCAGGTGACAGAGGGTGTCACCTCCCTCTGCATCTTCTGCCAGGATGCAGGCACTTCATGATCATCTGAGGCAGGAACTCTTAGGAAAGAGAAGGCCCTCCTCCAGCCAGTGTCAGGGGAATGTTTGTGCTGAAGTGAGGGGAGGGCCCAGACCGCCAAGACCATTTTTCATGACAAGATGAGGACTTGGTACCCATCACATTTCCCTTTTTGACTTGGCTGCCAGGGAACCCAGGGCTATGTTCTTAATTAATCAGCTCTGATTACTTAAAAACATCTGCCCCTTCTTTGTATTTTGTGGATCTTCCATTACTGTTTTATATACTGTATTAGTATTACACTTATGTTTCTTAGTGTGTTTGTTTAAGATGCCTCAAAGCTTAGGAACAATTAAGGGGGCACGCTGACTGCTTGACTCTCCGTCTTTATCCTGGGTGGCTCTGACTCATGGAGCACCTTCTGTAGCAGTTTCTCTGCAGAGCTGTGATGCCATCACACTGGATTGTAGATGCCACCTCACAGATCTGCAGATTTGTGTTGTGCTTTCCTGTTTGTGATCTCACCTGATGCTAGGACCAGGAAGGTCCGGACCTCTTCACTCACTGTCTCCAAGGGCCACCCTGCACCAGTCTCTCCCACACAGAACAGGACCTGTGTGTGTGTGTGTGTGTGTGATCAGATTTTCAGCCACAAAAGGGCCCAATGCTGTCCAAGGAGCAGCAAATAGCATCCACCCCTTTCTACAGCTGGGTGGGGTGCAGACAAGACTTGGGATGACATGACCCTCAGGGTCTCTTCCAATCCTGAGAGTCCATGGGTCTGTGGTTATGGGTGAAAAGAGGGAAAAGGCTTTGGATGGTCAGCAAGAGACCAGCCCAGGGCCCCTGAGGACGTGTGAGCCCATCCCTGGGCTCCAGTCACCTCACACTGCCCTCACCACGGGTGTTTTGGGGTAACTAAAACTGAAGTAACTGCTGACATCTGAGGGTCACAAACCAAGGCTGGGGAGGCCCAGCCAGGCAAGGAATGGCCATGGGAAGCCTGGGACTCTTTGTCTGGAATAAAGGCCTGGAGCATGTGCCCCACTGCTTGTATCATAACCCACGCTGTGTCCAATGCACCATGTTTGCGTGCTGTTGTCTAGCTACTGCAACCCAAATGTTAGTGACCTGAAACAATGACATTATTGTTGACAAATGTGCAACTTGAGCAAGACTTGGGAACAGCTCATCTGTGAGCAGCCTTAGCTGGGGTGGCTCGAAGGCTGGGGTGCAAGTACCTTCAGGCGGCCTCCCCAAGTGGCCAGGTCCTGAGGTGAGCATCCTGACAGGGCCAGGTGGAGCTGCCTGTCCTTTCCTCCCTGGCCTCAGAAATCATGCAGGGCCATCTGTGCCTCAGTCCAGGTTGGAGGCTGACCCATGTTCAAGAGGAGAAAGTTAGATTCTACCTTCTATTGGAAGAGCATCAAAGACTTGGTTGCCTGTTTAAAAACTATCCCACACACCCACAACCTGGTCAGGGAAGGAGTTGCTCTCCTGGGTGGCAGCAGCAGTCTGGATATCCTGCTTCATGAAGGTGGCCCAGGTTGGGGCCTCTAGCCTGTCACTCTCTGACGAGGGTTGGTGCTGCTGGGTCTTCCAGCAGACCTTCAGGCCTCCTGGGGCAGCCTGGGAGGCAGACATGCACCACCTCAGCCCTGGCTGGCACCTAATGCCTAACGGCAGCCCAACTGCATGGGCCTTCTGACGTGGCCCTGGCTGTGATAGCACATCTCGTACCACCAAGGGCATGTGGCTCAGGACATGGGCACCTGCGCCCCAGTTCTGTGCAGAGTAAGTGCTTCTTGGCCAGGATGGTCACTGCCAACACCTGGAAAAGGCAGGCCTGAGAGTAGAGGGTCAGTCAGTGATGATCGCCAGAAGTGTTGCATACGATGCCCCAATGCCGTCCTGAGAGGCCACTGCTAAGGACAAAGCCTCAGCCTGATGCACACTTGTGCTGAGGAAAAGCACCTCAGAATCCATGGGCAAGTGAGGGTGAACTGCACAGAACTAGAGCCATGGCTCAACGTGGGCTGGTTTTTATTGAAAATATAGCCAGCTGAGTCCATTTCTGCACACAGGTGCATGATCCTGACACCAGGGAAAGTTACAGGCTTTCCCTGTAGCTGGACAACAGCCTGTGTGTGGTCCCAGGAGGAAGGTGACAGATGGACATGCTGCAGTTGGGCCCCTGTCAGGCAGGTGACCAGGAATGTGGGCCCACACTGGAGGGGCTGCCAGACAGAATGTGCAGGCCCCAGCTCGAGGTAGCCCCCAGATCCCAACAATGATGGACCACAGCTGGCAGGAGGGGCGGGCCAATTTCTAAAATATATCTGGTAGAAAAATAGACATTTCCCTCAAAAGCAACTTCCAGGGGGCTTGAGGGCCATGTGAAGCTGGCTCTGGGCTGTTTTGGAGTGCTCATGCTCTGCTCTAGAGGTATCAAGACATACTATCATCTGTCAACACTCTCTGGCCCAATAGGGTCAGGAGGAAGAAGATCCCTTTCAAGGGTCTGGTGCTGGGGAGGGACAAAGATCTAGTACTCAGAAGCCGCTAGCCCCCACTTGGCCACCAACCTGCTGCTGACCCTGCTTACCCCTGCTGGGTCCCCCAACACCACCACTGGGAAGAGGTGGTCAGCTGCATCCTGAGCGGTCCAAGGACCACCCTGAGTTGGGGCAGTGGCCCCTGTCCCGCTAGGAAAGCAGCTGCAGCACCTGCCGGATGCGCTGGGTCTTCCCCAGCAGGAAGGGATCTGGGTCACCAGTGCCCGTCTCATCTAGCTCCTGCATCAGGGCTTCAGCCTTCTGCACCGTCAGCTCGCGGGCCCTGCCCTTCAGCCCCTCCAGGTAGGCCAGCAGGGTAGAGAAGTACTCATTGGGAACCTGGATGGGGAGGAAATAGAGAGTTGGTCATGGGCCAGGGCAGGTGTGGCAGATGGCATTGGACACTAAGCAGTGGAAAAACAAGGTGCCCACACTAAGGCTCTAGGGCTTTGGCCGGGCAACTGATGTCTTGGGTTTCACCCATGTGCCTGCAACAGGATCGTCCAGCCCAAGGGTCCTCACACCGGGTCCTGAGGAGTGTGAGCAGCCAGGCAGTAGTGGCCCTGCATCAGGCGTCATGGGGGACCTGAGCAGGGCTGTCTGTAAAAAGCCTTCATGCCACACCTGCTCCCTCTCTGTCAAGGACAATAGACCAGGGGACAGCAGGAGAAGAGGGAGCCAGCCTGCTTGAAGACTCCTTCTTCTATGCCTTGGCTATTTCCTTCACAAATTTCAGGTGCTTCCTTGCACTAAGGAGGCTGACACCCATCAGTTTTCAAGCCCTCCTGAAATGCCACTAAATCAACACTAAATAGATATGTTTTTAAAGAGACAAACCTGCTAGGCCTAAGAGAATGGGAGAAAAGAGAACAGTGACAACATTTCGGGGACTGGAAAGAAGAGAGATGAGTAATAACTGACTTAGCAGATCCGAGAGAGATGAAGGTTAAGCCAGCAAGGTGGAAAGCTGAGAGAACTGAAAACCAAACTACACTGCAGATCCCCACCCTCCATCCCAAAGATTCCAGAATTGGCTGTGCCAGTCAATTCTAGAAGTGGAAGCAAACATGGGCTGAAAATAGGAGAAGTGCCTAAAAGCCCATTTTAAAAGCAGTCAGCAACTCACACTTCTTGATTCAAAACCTACCTCCAAGCCACAGCACTCATGACAGTGTGGTACTGGCAGAAGAACAGACATACAGATCAATGGAAAAGAATTGAGAGACCATGAATAAGTCCATACATTTTTGGCCAACTGATTTCCCACAAGGGTGCCAAGACCATTCAATGGGAAAGGACAGCCATTTCAGCAAATGGTGCTGGGACAACTGGAATCCACATGTAAAAATGTGAAGCTAGACCCCTGCCTCACACCATATACCAAAAAATAACTCAAAATGGATCAAAGATCCTCGAGTAAGAACTAAAGCTATAAAACTCTTAGAAGAAAGCACAGACATAAACCTTTATGATCTTGATTTAGTTAATGGTTTCTTATATATGACACCAAAAGTACAAGCAGCTAAAGAAAAAAATAGATGAACTGGACTTCATCAAAACTGAAAACTTAAAATGGTATATTTTATGGTATTTGAATTATATCTCCCTTAAAAAACAATGCAGTTAGGTTTCTAGACCCCTTACCCCAATACAAGCAAATCAACTGTCCTCTACCCCCAGGAATTGGGAGGTTAAGGCACAAGGCCTCTGTTTAGGGGAGGCTAGGCACAGTGAGTGGAAAGGGGGTGTCAGACTAACACTGAGGCACCAAGAGAAAGTTTATCTGCCAAAGTTGAGCTTCCTCAAACGCTTTCCCTCACTGGCTTCCGGGATGTTGGCAGCCAAGCCTGCGCCCTCTTGGCAAAAAACCTGAGGATTCTATTCTGAAATCTGAAGAATACAAGAGAAAAGACCCAAAGATTCTGGGACTGGGGGTTCGTGAAGGACAGTTCAGTCCCTTCGACCTACACTGAAGCACACAGTTGCTAAGGCCCACTCTGTCACTCACAGCCTGAGTCAGCTTTTTAGGCCTCTCCTAAAGATGAGGGGACCACTACAAGGCATCAGACATTTGAAGGAAGTTTCTAATTTCAAAGTCAAATGCCAAACAAACAAACCAAAAGCAACCCAGATAAAAGAGAGTTTACACACTTATAAAACAAGAATAAGTTGCTGTAAAAAGTACACTTAAAGAACAAAAAGCTCCATATACTCATTAAAACTGTTGTCATATATCTTTTGGATTTTGGCTATCATAGTGGGTATCAGGTGATATTTCATTACGGTTTTGATTTGCATTTCCCTGATGGCTAATAATGTTGAGCATTTTTTCATGTGTTTATTAGCCATTTGTTTGTCTTTTTTTGGAGAAATGTCTGTTTAGATCCTTTGCCCATTTTAAAATTAGGTTGTCTTTTTGTTACTGAGTTAGGAGTATGATATGAGTCCCTAATTATATATTTGATTTGCAAACACCTCCCATTCTATGGGTGGTTGTTTCATATTCTTGATGGTGCTGTTTGCAGCACTAAGTTTTAAATTCTGATAGTGTCTGATTTATCCAGTTTTTCTTCTGTCACTTATGCTTTTGGAGTCGTATTTAAGAAACTGTTGCCTAACCTAAGGTCATGAAATGTACTCCTATATTTTCTTCTAAGAGTTTTAGTTTTAGCTCTTATACTTAGGTCTCTAATCCATTTTGAGTTAATTTTTGTATATGGTGTGAAGTAGGAGTCCACCTTCATTAAATAGCATATTTATAAAGATGTATAATTGTAACACATAAGAAATACAAAATATGTATAATTAAAATACACATTAAATAGCATATTTGTAAATCTGTATAATCATAGTGATATAAAATATTTTGTATGTGTTTGTGTGTGTATATACACACATAAGTGGCTTTGCCTAGGCACAGGTTATTTTATCTACATAAAACTTTTTGTATAAAGTTTGCTTCTTTTTTTTTTTTTAAAAGATGATTGGTAAGGGGATCCCAACCCTTGGCTTGGTATTGTCAGCACCACGCTCAGCCAGTGAGCAAACTGGCCATCCCTATATAGGATCCGAACCCGCGGCCTTGTTGTTATCAGCACCGCACTCTACCGAGTGAGCCACAGGCCGGCCCTAAAGTTTGCTTCTGATAACAGTAATGTATAAATAAAACCATGTAAAGTTCTGTTAAAAGAAAAAAACAAAATGTGGAAATTCAGTTTTCCCAGCACCATTTGTTGAAAAGACTATTCTTTCCCCATTGTATTGTCTTGGAACGCTTGTCAAAAACCGATATGGTATTTAAGAAACCACTACCTAAACCAAGGTCACAAAGATTAATGTCTATGTTCTCTTCTGAGAGTTTTATAGTTTTAGTTCTGACTTGTAGGTCTTTGATCAATTTGAGTTATTTTTTGGTATATGGTGTGAGGCAAGGGTCCAACTTTATGCTTTTGTGTGTGGATGTCCAGTTGTCCCAGTACCGTTTGCTGAAAAGATTGTTCTTTCCCATTAAATGGTCCTGGCACACCTGTTGGAAATCAATTGGACATAAATGTGAGAGTTTATTTCTGGGTTCGTTATTCTATTACATTGGTCTATGTTTCTAGCTTGAGCCAGCACCACACTGTCTTGTCTTGATTACTGTAGCTTTATAATAGGGCACGAAATTGGGAAGTTTATGTCATCTGACTGTTCTTCTATTTCAAGACTATTTTAGCTGTTTTACGTTCCTTGTACTTGAAACCAATGCATGGAGGGCAAACCCCAAGGACAGCAGGCCGCGGGCCTGTGCCTGGAATGCCCCAGTTCAGTGTGCTGGGGATGGGGGTGGGGTCGATGAGTATGCTCCCCACTTGGTGTGTCTAGAGGCACAGGTGCAAGCAGTAGAAAACTGTGCCATCCACCGCTGTACCCCAACAACATGTACACACAGAGCATCCAACAAGCCTGGCATCTCATAATATTGAAAGTCGAACTGGTGTGGCAAGAAGGCTGCTGTGGCTGCCCCCTGGGAGTGAGGAGACTCAGCAGAACCTCTGCACTGGGCTTGTGCACCTTTGGCATAAACATGGCAATTCCAGCCTATCTCCCAGCTGTTGGGTATTGTTTCTAAATTCTATCTCATCCTGTGAAACTAAATCTTACATCTTTGCCCCTGAAAAGAAGTGCTTTTGAATGCACACCCACACACATACACATGTGCACACAATGCATGCACACACATGCAGGTGTACTTATACACACACTCACGAGCATGTGCACACATAGGTTTAAGTAGCCTCCACTAGGTCGGCCTGCGTTTGCCTTAGCCTCAGAGGCTGGTGGAGGCAGATATTGCCTCCATTTCTTCAAACAAATATGCTGGGAACCAGGCGCTGCGTGGGACCATTGGGACAGTCCTTTCAGGTAGTGGCCTCTGCTATCAGGGGCCCCAAGTGTGCTCAGATCTTATCAACTGGGAGACTCACCCGCCCCGCCAGGCACACACCTTGTCACTGTCGTACATGTGTAGCAGGAGCCACGTCTGCCTCGTCTTCTGAAATCTCCAGTTCTTGTGCTTTTGGGCCCATCTGGGGAAACCAAGACAATAACCTCAGGGTGCCAGATGAAAGAATCCAGAGGATCTTCTGCACTGACCTGGTGGTCTCCTCTCAGGGGAAGAACCTCCACTCAGGTGCTAAAACACCAAGGCTGTAGGCATCCTGGAAATTTTGGGGGGGAAGTCTTGATCACAGGGATGCATTACCTCTTCTCGCTCACTGTGGGGTCCCTTGGCCAACCTGGCAGTGTCCACATCTGTAACAGAACTTAAGAACTAGGTAGTTTAGGGTCATTTTCTTCCAGCTCTACAATTCTGTGATTTTAAAACCCTAATGTGAACAGTCCAAATTTTGCAAGTTCAGTCAGTGTTGAAGCAGTGTTTACTGTGTTCTGTAGCGAAGTCCCTAACAGTCCCCTTCCTCCTTCAGTGAGATGTGCCAGGTTGTGGGAGGAGCTTATGCTGGAGGGCACAGGATGACAGGTAGCTCTGAGTGTCGGTGCTATGGGGAAAGGAAACAGGACGACGTGGTGTTCTGGCCAGGGCAGAGGATCAGGCTCTCTAAAGTGAGACCTACACACTGAGAAGGAGGCCACCACAGAATCTTGGGTAGAGCCACTGCAAAGCCCCGGAATGGACAGGGGCTTTCATGTTTGAGGCCCAGGGACACAGGGACACCAGGACACTGATGGCCCTGGGAGAGAGGGTGGAGAGCCCAGATCATGCCACCCTGTGCACTGAGAGAGGAGCCTGACTGTTATTCTCTCTGCATGGCGGCACAGATGGAGTATCACTTGCTTCTCCTTGCTAACTCGCCCTGCCTGTTCTTGCTGGGACTAACAGCTCCTGTTGGCCCTGTAGCTGGTGGGGTTTAGGGTGGAAGCAAATGTCCTCCTCAAACTGGTGCTGCTTCCCCTACACTTTGTCAGATGAAAGCAAAGCTAATCAGGCCTAGCCTCAATCTGCCCGGGCGTCGTGGGTCATTCGCGTGAGAGTCACAGACTAGGGTCTGGGGCCAGATTGAGCCGCCAATCCTGCCTTTCAGGGACCAAACATCATGGCCAAGGTTCTACCACGTACTGTCATCTTGGGTGACTGACTCACCCTCATAAAAAACGATGTGGCTTGAAAGTGATGTGTTGGAGATTCCAGGTGAGTGTTTGAGTGCAGGTATGGCACTCAGCCTGGGCCCTGGCCCCACAAACCTGGCTCAGCCCAGAAGCTTGGCCTGAGGAAGAAAGGGAGAGAGCAAGAAAGCAGGAGAAAAAAATCGAAAGAATGGGTAGTTAGAGGAGGGGCAGAGGAAAGGAAGTGAGGAAGGACAGAAGGTCCCCAGGCCTGGTCCCCGGACCTGGACTGGCCTGAGTGGAGGATAGGCAGGTGGAAGTCCATGCAGGTTACTCCAGGAAGTTGCCACTGCCCTCAGGACCTCTCCTCTGTGCCAATTATCAAGTTATTACCTCTCAGCCCCAAGTCCACCCTTCACCTCTGTGGAAATGGACATGGGCCCTTTAAGAAATGTTTCCTTCGCCAGATGGCATAATGTCAAGTAAAACATGCTGGAGAGACAGAATGCAAGAGGGTCTTCCTTCCCAGTTCCTGTGAGCAACCTCTGGCAGCACCCTCACGTTCTGTACTGCGGAGCCCCCACTGAGACCTCCATGTGTAGCTTTCCCAGTAAGTCCTGCTGGCGGGGCTGCTATGACCTCTTTGCTATCCAGCAAGCCCTGAGCCCTGTCCCACAAGGCTGGACCCTGGCCCTGGGGCCTCATCCTTGGGCTCATCTCAGCCTGGGGGCAGTGGTGGCCCTTTATCTGCTGTTTTGCTCCCTCTAGAGTTCTCTCCCGTCTTATAAGATAAGACCCTGTTATAGTTAATCTTTCTGTATAATAAAGTTTCCTCATTAAAGTTATTATGCGAAGGGGAGAATCAAGATGGCAGAATAGATGGTCCCCAGTGTCACTCTCTCCCACAATAGATCAATTTACAACTATTAAAAAAGCAATGACTGCCAAGCTGGGGCTGCTAGAACTCAGAGAAGGAGAGACCTACAGAGTGCATGAAGGCCAGAGAAGCTGTGATAAGAGAAAGAAGGGACCGCTCCAACCATTTTGAGCCCCAGCCACTTCAAGGCTGGCCCTGGTCAGCACACAGAGCAAGAGCTGGCAAAAGCCGCAGCTGTGCCCTTTGTGAAAGTTGCTTGGAGACTACAGGGGAAAGGAGGGCCTTGGTGGCCCTCAGGCCAGCAAGACCACTGACAGGTCCCGTGGACCCACATAGGAGCGAGGAGCCACAACAGAAAAAAGGAGCCGCTCAGAGGCTGTTGAGTCATCACAAGTGACTGGCACATGACCTGTCTCATGGAAAGTGTTTGGAGTGTGGGCAGTGGGGGAGACAGGCCCACTGGGGGAACACTGAGGCACAGCATGGACAGCTGATCTGACCTGCAGTCAGCACAGACCCACTCAGTGGAGACTGGTCAGGAAAACAGAACTGCAGGGGTTGCAGTTTGCTGAAAAGACTCAGGTGCAGGCCAGAGTTTCCACATAGGTATATCGGAGCCAGGTGTATTGGACCTCACAAGACTGGAAGTAGGCAAAAGGTCAACAATTGAAAACTGAGCTGTACAAAAATCCTTCCCCAGGGAATCAGTAGGAAAGCAGCAATTTAGCTCAACCACAGGGCTCAAGTGCTGGTCCCCACAGGAAGTTCCCCCATTTTAGAAGTAAGCAAAAGACAACAAATTACTTTCACTGCAGAGTTTAAGTGGTGAGGGTAGCTAATAATCCAACAAAGAACTGAAATAAAACACAAAACACCCACAGATCAGAGACAAGGTTCTGATATTAACTAGAAAAGGTCTACCACCATCAAAGAACACCTACAAAACCTAAAAGAGCCAGAAGCCCCCAGGGCTCCTGAGCTGGGGTGAGGGGAACCAGGGGCCTCAGCCATGCTCCCCCAATGTCCTCATCAAGCCCAGTGATGACTGAACCACCATCACAAGCCCCCAGGCTCCTGAGACAGGGTGGGGAAGGTACAAAGGCCTCAGCCATGCACCCCCACCTTCTGCAACCAGGCCAGCAAAGAAGCTGACTGTGGGCCAGCCACCTCCACCTCCACCTCCGTTTCCCTATCCCCGTCCCACCCGCCTCTCCCACTTTTCTGCAACATCTTTGTTTTTTTCTTTCTTTTTCTTTTTGTCTTTTTTACTGACCGGTAACGGGATCACAGCCCTCGGTGTCGCGCCTGTACCGGGGACTGGCAACAGGATCGCAACCCTCGGTGTTGCGCCCGCACCGCGCTCAGCCAGTGAGCGGGAACCGGTCTCCACATGGGATCCGAACCCTCGGCGGGAGCACCGCCACGCTCCCAAGCGGCGCACTCTCCATTGCACCACCGGGCCGGCCCTCTGCAACATCTTTGAATGTAAAATAATAATTCATAAATAAATAAATGATTTTTAAAAACTTACTGTGCAGTTTCTGTCCCCTGATTGTGCCTGGCTAACCCACCTGCCTGGGCCTGAGATGATCTGGATTATTCCATCACTACTGGTGTTTCCTTCCAGTCCCTGAGGGTGGAAAATACAACTCTGCCATTGGAAGACAACACATGACCCCAATCCCACCAGGTCTCAGGCTCCTCCCTGGTGGGCAGGTGTTGGAAGGCAGGGACTGTGCTGAGTGAGCTCTGAGCTCCACCACCTCAGACCTCCCCTCAGTCCCCATCGCTGATGCAGTAACACAGGCATGCACCCAAAGCAATACCTCCTCCATGACCCAGGGCTCAACCACCTGTGTAGTCAACTGAGTCCCTGAGAAGAGGCTCAGGTCATTTGAGGACTGGCCTCAGAAGTGCTGCCTGGGCTGCCCAAGAAGCCATGGGGAACCTTGCCAGGGGCCTGAGCTGTGTGTGTGTGTGGTGGGGGGTGGGGGATGGTCACACAGAAATCTATGACAGAAACAGTTCCATTCCAATGTCCAACCCTGAGCATCTTTCTGCAGATCCTAAGTCTCCCAGCCTACAGTGGCAGAAAGAAGGCTCCTGAGACAAACTCAGTGATAACCAGCACAATGAGAAAGAATTGTGATGAATTCAGGGCAGGATGACCCATCCTGGCAAGGTCCCAGAGGTCAGATGCAGGCCAGAGCAAAGCCAGACTATTCCTGGCCCTGAAGCCCCATCCAGAAATGTCTTTTAAGAGGGAAGGCCAGGCTGGTCCCAAGCCCAGGGTGGGTCTATGTGTATTTATGGGGGGTGGGGGGAGGTGAGCTGAGACAGACCTGGCAGGAGTGGCTGTTATCACTCCTCTGGGACCCAGGGTCACTGTGGAGCTCCCTGGGTGGTGAGGCTGAGCCCCACCGACTTGGGGGGGTGCCAAGTTGTAGTGGCTCTCAGCACCCATGAAATTTCAGATGAAGGATGCTTTAATGCCCCAGACGGTGGGCAGAGGTGGGTATAGTTGCTGCCTGGGTTCAAGCCCATAGCCCAGCCAGAGACATGGCTGGCCCCGAAGGAAAGGGGTGGAGCCAGCCACACGGCATGTAGGCTATGGCCCTATAGTGAGCACCTGGTCGAGGCTTGGTCTGACCCCGGCCAGGCCTGGCTGGTTACCCTGTGGCTGAGCTTCCGACAGGTTTCTGGACCCAAATAGCTTCCTCTGCTCTCTGAGCCCATGGATGGGAATCTCTGCCTACAGACGGCCCTCCTGATTACCACTGGCTTCAAGACTATCCTCCGGAACAGTCGGGACCCTCCTCAGCCCCTGAAAGGCAGCAATGCCTGCTATAAGTCATCCCTTCAGACACTGGCATTCCTGGTGTAGGGCCTGGAGGCACCTTAGGATAGAACACTCTGTACACAATGGCAAGCAGACCCCCAGCCTGTCCTGCTGGATGGTAACCTGTGTACAGCTCTGCCTTCACTGCAGGAAATCTCGCAGCTGAGTGACTAGAAGGATGCGTCAATGCTGTGCATAGAATTAGGGAGTTAGGCATAAACTGAGCGCCCTTGGAAACCCTGGGGCTG